AAGTGGCTTTTTCTGGCCAGTGAATCCCTACTTTTTGGTCTTTTTCATTTTTTTTTCACACACACATCACACCACATACTCTGGCATGCACTGGCTGTTGGTAACCACCCAGGAGAATGAAAGAAAAGTCAGGAGGAGTCTGAGAAAGAGAAGAAAGACGTGTGTGACCATAATCGTCGGGAATCGAACCCGCAACCTATCGATTGGAAATCACTGCACATACCACTGCACCATATGGGACACACACACACACACTCACATACACACACGCACGCGCACACACACACACACGCACACGCACACACACACACACACACACACACACACACACACACACATAGATTTAACTTAAATATATCCACGTTTGTGCAGAGGTGCCTATCATACCCACTAAGAATGCTGCGGAGACCAACAAGAAGATGAGCTCTGGTGATAATACCAGCAGCCAGAATGCCAGTGCTCCACAACAACCCAAAGGAGCTGGCTCAACAGGTCGAACAACTGTCGCATCAGCGCTGGAAATGGAGTCGGTTCCAGAGGCTAGTGTGGCGATGGCAGGCGCCAGCTCCTCACCACAGAAGCAAGGTCGTGCGGACAGCGTCAATTCTCCCAGGGTAAGTGTTGACACATGCATACTGGTGTGCGCAGACTATCGAGAAGTTTATTTTATTTTACTGTGATGTGCATGGGTGGATATGGGTGTGGGTGTGGGTATGCGTGAAATGTCGCATGGGAAATGAAGAACCGCGTTGAGTGCTCTACCTAACTACCTCCAAGGTTTCAAATGTCACTTGCCTAGTGTGGCTAAGCATGTATCAGTTTGGGATACATCTGGTATTCGCTCATGCCCTTCACCAGATTAGGCATCCCCTTACACACCTTCAACATCAGACTGGCTTGATAGTGAGCATTGCTTCACTGTTATTTCCTTACTGGACAGCTCACTCACAGCTTGGCTGCTTCTAGCGACACAAGCAAATCCGGCCAAGACGGTAAAGCCAGCAAGGCTGGAACACTTGCAAGCAGTGGCAAGAAGAAAAAGAAGAAGAGGAATGTACTTTGGTAAGTTTGAGACATGCATGTATTGCCGGAGCATTTATAGATTAGAAGGATGTGAGTGTATCGCGTTGCACTGCTCCTACCCATACAGTATTTGCCTGAATCGCACCTTTTTACACTTGACTTCAAGGGCAAAGAAGGGTTGCGACTTACAATCGAGTGTGACGTCCTGCCTACGTGACTATATTGAAGCAATATGGCTCAAACATGGAAATGGGAGTGCTGCGTACAATTGAGTGTGACTTATAATCCAGGAGATGCAGTGCTTCATCATCCAGCAACACCACTGACTCAAATACAAACACTGCTCTGGTATTGTTCAGCGTGTCGCGCTGCTAGCCTCACTTTTCAACGAACTGTTATATGCGCACGTCATGTTCTTGCTGTCGTACAGGCGTGTGTTTGTGGATCCGCTGTATAAGTTCTACGAGAAGGCTCTGGATGAAGATCAAGGCGGTGGTCGCAAGGATTACTACACCGTCATGTTCTCCTTCGATCTCATCACGTTTCTCATCACTGTGTTCGGCTGGTCGTCATTCTCCGTACGTACTCATAACCCGCATTACCTGCTATGTGTCTGGGCGGACACACTCGTTTGTCTAAGTTTCCCACAATAAACAATTGTCTATTGCTTTGTGCTAATGCAATTGGATCTGTGATTAGGGCAAACCATGCATATGTTGTGGAAGAAGGATCCACGGGTGATATTTGAATCGGCAAATACTCCTGTTTGACCGGGACAGTGCCCTGCTGGCAGTGTAGCAAGAAAGGGCTACCTGTGTCTGTGTGTCTGTGGATGTTTGCCTGTGGATCCTTCCTGTAAACTTGATGTAGATGTGTGCTGTCCCTTGCCTCTGCCAAGCTGTGTGGTACATTCTAGCTGCACCGTTTCCACCAGTTGTGTGTCTGTACTCTGTACATGTATATGTATTCTGTTTACAGGAGAAGTCTACATCTGCATCAGCTGACGTCACTACCTACATCTCACAGAACTACATACCACGTACATTCCTGGCCATGGTCCTCGTGCAGTTCCTACTCATGATTGTAGACCGGTATGGATAGCATGATGTGTGTGTGTGTGTTTTGTTTGTGTGTGCATGTGCATGTGTGTGTGTGTGGGTGGGTGGGTGGGTGTCTATGTGTCTGTGCATGTGTGTTCATGTGTGTGTGTGTGTGGGTGGGTGGGTGGGTGTCTATGTGTCTGTGCATGTGTGTTCATGTGTTCATGTATGTCTTGATGAGAATGGCAGTTGCTGTATTTTGTACATAACGTTAGGCACATGTGACGGTGTTGAGTTGTATGACCTGTGTGACGGTGTTGTGTTGTATGACCTGTGTGACGGTGTTGAGTTGTATGACCTGTGTGACGGTGTTGTGTTGTATGACCTGTGTGACGGTGTTGAGTTGTATGACCTGTGTGACGGTGTTGTGTTGTATGACCTGTGTGACGGTGTTGAGTTGTATGACCTGTGTGTAAGGTGTTGAGTTGTATGACCTGTGTGACGGTGTTGTGTTGTATGACCTGTGTGACGGTGTTGAGTTGTATGACCTGTGTGTAAGGTGTTGAGTTGTATGACCTGTGTGACGGTGTTGAGTTGTATGACCTGTGTGACGGTGTTGTGTTGTATGACCTGTGTGACGGTGTTGAGTTGTATGACCTGTGTGACGGTGTTGTGTTGTATGACCTGTGTGACGGTGTTGAGTTGTATGACCTGTGTGTAAGGTGTTGAGTTGTATGACCTGTGTGACGGTGTTGTGTTGTATGACCTGTGTGACGGTGTTGAGTTGTATGACCTGTGTGTAAGGTGTTGAGTTGTATGACCTGTGTGACGGTGTTGAGTTGTATGACCTGTGTGTAAGGTGTTGAGTTGTATGACCTGTGTGACGGTGTTGAGTTGTATGACCTGTGTGACGGTGTTGAGTTGTATGACCTGTGTGTAAGGTGTTGAGTTGTATGACCTGTGTGACGGTGTTGAGTTGTATGACCTGTGTGACGGTGTTGAGTTGTATGACCTGTGTGACGGTGTTGAGTTGTATGACCTGTGTGACGGTGTTGAGTTGTATGACCTGTGTGACGGTGTTGAGTTGTATGACCTGTGTGTAAGGTGTTGAGTTGTATGACCTGTGTGACGGTGTTGAGTTGTATGACCTGTGTGACGGTGTTGAGTTGTATGACCTGTGTGACGGTGTTGAGTTGTATGACCTGTGTGACGGTGTTGAGTTGTATGACCTGTGTGTAAGGTGTTGAGTTGTATGACCTGTGTGACGGTGTTGAGTTGTATGACCTGTGTGACGGTGTTGAGTTGTATGACCTGTGTGTAAGGTGTTGAGTTGTATGACCTGTGTGCTGTGTGTAAGGTACACGTGCTGCTTGACGGTGTTTGCCTTTGGATATACATGTAGGTGTGGTAGGGAATAGGCTCCCAACAACCGTACTGAAACACACTGGGAGACGGCCATGTACAGATGCATGCATGGAGCATGTGCATGTGTGCTCCCTGTCTGCACAAACATCTCCTGTTTAGGTGCTTTCCTTGTGACGGTGCTGTGTATTGTGCCGTCTTCTTGACGGTGCTGTGTATTGTGCCGTCTTCTTTGTTGTGCTTGTTGTTGTGCCTGCAGCATCCTGTATCTTCGCAAGCTGATCTTCGTCAAGTTTGTCTTTCAGATCACACTGCTGATCGCTGTGCATGCCTGGCTCTTCTTCATCTTACCGGCTATCTCAGAACGGTGCGTACCTGCTGCCAGGCATCATTGCCTGCCCCTGTAGTCACCTGCAAATGGATTGCACATTGGATGTGTTTTAACGACCGTAGCCATTCTTGATCACTAAACGAACGCTGTTCGTGTCAATGCAAAATACACTGCAGATGTACACTTTAGGACAAAGAGAATAGTACCCTCCGGCATATGCTGGGAACTGACCCTGGACTGAGCTGCGCAGTTGCATTGCTTTTGCACTAATCCAGCTTGCTTGCTTGCTAACTAGATTTGCCATTCTTCCTGTTGTGCACTGTGCACTGTACGCCGCAGGTCGTTCAATGACAACCCCGTAGCACAGCTGTGGTACTTCAGCAAGTGTATGTACTTTGCAGTGGCAGCCATGCAGCTAGCTGCTGGCTACCCGACGCGTATCCTTGGACAGTTCCTGACCAAGGGGGCCAACATCATCTCCGCCGTCCTCTTCCTCATGTGAGTTGCCATGTACGCGTGAAGGATAGGAGTCCGGTCTTGTGTGAGTCTGGCACATATATGTGCATGTGTGTGCTGAAACTTGCCACCAAGTCTGCCATAGAAACTCCTCTCCTCTGTACACATCGAAGGGACGCTTGGTCATCAGAGGATTATGTCCTCAGCCCAACACTTACTGTTATAGAGTCGGGAGCAGAAAATTATCAGTTACATGTACACACAGCGCCCTTGGTGACCCGGTTTGAGAAATTCTATGCATGTTCTCTCTCGGTCCTTGTTGTTGTTGTGTGCATCCCGTGTTTCAGTGTTCAAGCCATACCGTTTCTTCTGGAGTTCCGTGAGCTACTGGACTGGGCATGTACACCCACCGTCCTGTCAATCATGTACTGGTTCAAAGTGCAGGATATCTGGTCCAGTATATTTGTTATCAAGAGCTTTCGCACGTATGAAAAGGTTAGTGTAGCCTGCAGGCTCGGAGAGAGTCCTTGGTTTTGCTGTGCATACGAATATGATCGTATGATCGTATGGCTGTATGAGATTGTATGATTGTATGATCCTCGAAATCGTAATGGACAACTATCAATAAAAACAAACGGAGAAAAGACTCTCTGCGTCGTGTCATATATCTTGCAAACATGGCAAATGAGCCAGTTATAATGTATGCAGTAAAGGCATGAGATAAGCCAGTCCGCTCCGAGTTTGACCCGTGCAGCAGTGGCCCGGTTGCCAATTCACACGTCTGCCCTTGCCGTTGCGTTGTATCCAGTACGATGGTGAAAACTGCCCGTTTTGCTGGGATAAAGAAATTTAGTTGTTGTGCTTGTTGCTGCTGAAATCATTCAGTTTTGTTGTAATAGAATGCTCCTTACAGTATTGTGCACTATGTGTCCGTGTGTCCATGTGTGTGTATGTGTGTCCATGTGCATGTGCGCATGTGTGCGTGTGTGTCCGTGTGTGTGTGTGTGTGTGTGACATGTAGTCTGCGCCGAGAAAGATCGGTACCACTGTCAGTCTGGTGGTGAAAGCTCTGGTCGGTGGTCTTGGCGTGGTGGCACTCATCCTGGTGCTGTGGTTCCCGCTAGTGCTCATGTCTCTCATCAACTCTACAAGCTTGAGCAACCCACCCAAGTCTGTGTCCGTACAGCTGCAGATTGGTGGATTTCAGGTTGGTTGTGCAAACTTGCTCTTTCGGTTGTGCTGCAAACCTGTGCACTGTATGCGTAAATTTGTTTCCAGTGCATGTTACGTGTAGTGAGACTCAGGGCCACTCTGCAGGGTTGTGACTTGTGAATACGTGTAAGCATTTATGAATACCGGTATATATGCGAGAGCATGCATGTGCTCGTGCACGTACGTATGCACACGTGCGGGTACACACACACACACACACACACACACACACGTGCACACACACACACACACACGCACAAGTGGTCGGGTATGCACTGACGTTGTCTCGTGCGGCATGGTGTCGTGTCCCTATACTACTGTGTTTGCCTTGCAGCCTCTGTTCCACTTCACAGCCGATCAGCAGTTCTTAACACAGATTACAGAAAGTGATATGAAAAACCTGCGTAATAAATATCAGGATCCGGTAAGTGACAACTTGTTTAGGTAGTCTGGTGTTGTTTGTCGTCTTTGCTGGCATGCATGACATGTAGCCAAACTACTTTTGCGGAATTATAAAGACCCAATAACGATGCGGCGCGTGGAATTTGACCCATGCTGTCCCAGCAGAGTGTGCAGCACTGACTTGTGCTTGTGTATGTATGCATCTTTTTATGGCATGACAATGCTGACATACAGGTGTAAACGACTTACAGTTAGATCTATGCACAGCTTTGGCTCTGCTATTAGTGTGTATATGCGCCTGTGCCGGTGTGTGTGTCTGTGTGTCTGTGTGTCTATATGTGTGCGTGTGTGTGTGTGTGTGTGTGTGTCTGTGTGTGTGTGTCTGTGTGTCTATATGTGTGTGTGTGTGTGTGTGTGTGTGTCTGTGTGTCTGTGTGTCTGTGTGTCTGTGTGTGTATATGTGTGCGTGCGTCTTTGTGTGTCTGTGTGTGTCTGTACAAGTTGCTATGGCTTCTGCTGTAGCATCGCTATCATCACCTCTGGCGATGGGTGTCAAAAGGTAAAAGGTCAAATGTGTGTCTGTGTGTGTTTGTCTATTTGCATTTAGGAAAGCCAGGCATTCCTGACCAAGTATGTAGCATCGGACGTGACCCGGGTCAGTATCCCTGGCCAGTCCAGCGCGCTGTGGAGTATCAGCCCTCCGTCACGTCGTCTCATGGAGCAGAACCTGAACAATCCCAACCACTCCATAGACATAGCCTTCTTGTGGACCATTGTCAGGTACAGTACAGGGCCACACAACCAGCATAGCATGTACATGTACAATGGCGTTGACGACTAGGGCTTCTCAAGCAAGGGTGATACCATAATGATGGCATGTGAAATCCATGCGATGGTTCAATCTAAACGGAACAATGCGTAACATTGCACTTGTACTTGCCGTTCATTTCCACTTTCTTGTTCAAAGGGAAAATACAACATGTGCACTGAATTTGTGAGAGTTGAAGCTTTGCTCACTCATTACTTCTCCCTTCTACCCATTGCTTGCCTCTGTCCACCGCAGAGAAACCCAAACTGGTCTGGCAGCGGAAACTGTGTCGCAGATCAACTCCACGTCACTGCCACATTCCACTAACGAGACGACTATACGAACGGCGCTGTATCAGATACTGAGTCGCAATACCACAAGAAATAGCACGTAAGTAACTCTTGCCTTGGGCTGAGGGCAAGTGATGCAGGGTACTAGTATATACACGCGCACACACCGTGACACACACACACACACTTCAGATCTCAGACCTGCCCATCGTGGAAGCGGTGATAGCGAACAGCTATGTTAGACATAGCAACTTGTGCTGGGATTACACACACACACACACACACACACGCACGCACACACATGCACCCCCCACACACGTGAACGCACACACACACACACGCACACACACCACACACACACACACATACACACACACACATCATGTACCATGTGTACGCCCGTCGAAAGAGAAGCACGCAAATCTGCAAATGCACTGGATGTGCACCCACAGATTTTCTCTTATAGCAACGATAGCGAACAAGATCTGCATGAGACAGATCAAGACTTGCGCCAGATAACTGTCTAATCCACACAACTGGCGAAGCCATGTGAATTGACCATCAATGCACACCTGGTCTACGCCGCACAGAGTACATCGGCATAAAACGGCCAAGACATTTACCTATGCACACCCTACACTTGCTGGCACACACACATACACACACACACACACACGCACGCAAACACACACGTGCACGCCCACACACCGCACATTCGCATGCGCAAACACATTGACATGTGTGCTCACAAGTGGTATTATAAACTCGCCTCTCAAAAGTAATAACATGTATATGACCTTTACTGTTTGTAGATATGTGGGTGTATGTATGCATGTGTTTGTACATATGGGTGTGTGTGTGTGTGTGTGCGTGCGTGTGTGTGTGTGTGTGTACGTGTCTGTCTGTGTGTCTGTGTGCGTGTGTCTGTGTGTGTGTGTGTGTGCACGTACGTGTGTGTTTGTTTCCAGGATGATCCAAAGTCTCTATCCATCATTCATTCTGGCACCAGCTAACGGACCTGCCAACCCCGTCCTCGTCCTAAACAGTATGATGTTCTTTAAACAGTATGATGTTCTTTAAACAGTATGATGTTCTTTAAACAGTATGATGTTCTTTAAACAGTATGATGTTCTTTAAACAGTATGATGTTCTTTAAACAGTATGATGTTCTTTAAACAGTATGATGTTCTTTAAACAGTATGATGTTCTTCTTTAGACTGTTACAGTGTACATGTATGTCAGGATCAGCACCACTGGTGGCACTACAAGCACACTAGAATGTGGATACGCTCTTGTGGAATCATGGAGCCCTGAAACTCCATACCAGCCTGCAGAATATACTACTGTCGTGGACATGGAAATCCGGTCGGATGACGCGGGGCCGGCGCCCTCAGTGTGTACAGAACGTTGCATGCAGTGCAAGTGTTGATCGTATTCGTACTCGCGGCTGCATGGCCAGCGTCCTGGAGCCGCTCGATCCCTGACTGGATGTCCATGTCCACAACAGTACATAGCCTATCTGCCTGTGTATATTCATCATTGTGACCACCTGTGTGCATGTGCATCGGTGTGGATCGTAAAAAAAATTGCCATACCGTTAACCCTGAGGCATGCTGCGAATCATGATCTTGCATCTTTCACTTTGCAGATGCATTCGTGAACGTGAGTCTTCAGTGGCAGGAAGGCGGTCAGTACGGTGGTGAATGGTGGGAGCTGGTTCAGACATCGCCACATATTCTGGATAGCAGCGACAGTGCTACACTGGAGTTGTTCATTATCAGCGATCGCGTGGCCGCTCCAGAGTTCTCTTTCCTGGCTGGATATGGGTAAGCCACCAGTGGCACAAACACACAGCAACTTCCCTAGGGTAAATTAGTTAAAATTACGCTATAATAGGTGGCATCTGTCCTACCATGCCAAGCTAGTGCCCTGGACCAGTTCCGATTTCATCACTGTATAGTCATGTACTACTTGTCTATGCTCAGCAGCATTCTCACCACTTCCAGTGTGTCAAGGGCTGTGCAAGTCCAGGGTGGAGGATATGCACTTTAGGTGTTAGCACAATCCTAGTAAAGCTGTACGCAAAAACAGGACTGGTTGTAGTAGGTGACGCACTTTGAGTGCAACACGTCCGACACGTCTGTACTATGCTGTACTGTGTGTGTGTGTGTGTGTGTGTGTGTGTGTATTTGTGTGTGTACGTGGTGCATGCATGTGTGTGTGTCCGCAGCGTGATAGGTCTCTACGTTTCGTTGGTTCTGGTGGTGGGCCAGTTCCTGCGCTTGATCTTCAAGAACATCTCGCATCGCATCATCTACGAGAACATCCCCAACCCAGATCCGTTGCATCAGCTATGCCATAACATCTTCATGGCGCGTGAGATGGCACAGGTCACAGGTAAATACTACCTGGAGGAGAGGCTCGCTGGACAACTCTTCTTGCTGTACAGATCGCCGGAGCGTCTTGTCGAGGAGACCAGGCCGCCACTGCAGAGGACTTACACAGCCAGGGACCAGGATGGGCGGCTACAACAACCCGACGATAGGACAGAACCAGCCGCTGGACACCGGCAAAGCCCGCCAGCAGGAATAGTAGCAGAACGGCAGACTAGGCCACGAACTCGGACAGTAGATGCAGCGGTGCAATGACAATTGTAGCTTGCTGGACAAGCTAGCTTCTAGTACCATGCAATGTGACTTTATATTCCAAACTGGCTTGACAAGCTAGCCTCTAGCTCCATGCTTGACTTTTCATTCAATTTTTTATTCGAAGCTGGTGCTGCTGAGATGGCATATGCTTATGTGTCATAATATTCCATCATGCCTCATATCATATTCATGAAATTTCATCACACAACACATACAGTGTCATAATCTCCTACAAGCACGGCGGGGGTACTAATAATAAGATCACAGTGGAGAGAAGGGAGGTGGCAAAGCATCTATTTATTATGTGAGAGAGACACAATATTGCCACGTGGAATACAGAGCTAGTAGCAGCAGCAGCAATATACATTACATTCTTAATTAAGCATAGCAAGAAATAGCAAAATTCTCCGAAAAAAAAGTATCAAACACAAAATGAAGTATAGCCTAGTGTCGACGAGAGGGAGGGGAGCGAGAGCGGCTTCGTCGCCGTCTACTGCTGCTGCTGGGTGGTGGTGCTGCCGCTGTTGCTGCTGCCTTGCGCTTCTTTTCTGCTAGCTCCTTTTCTTTGGCCTGCAGCAAGGTGAAATAACAGATGCACTAAGCAAGGTGACCATTGTGACAGAAGCGACAATGAAAGACAAGTTCAGGATTATGAGTACTGGGGCAGTAGTAGTATGAGAGCAGCAACACAATCCTCACCATGCCATTGCTCATGGTGTGGCTCCAGGAGTTAGTTCCCTCGGCTAAAAAAGAAAGAAAGAAATCACCACCGACCAGTCTGCCAGACAATCTCGTCTACACTAAGGGGCCATCCGTAAATACTGATATTTATTTAGAAACGAAAACTAGTCATTTTTCTTCAACCCCCCCCTCCCTGAGAAACGAACACATACAAAGTTACAAACGGTACATAGTATCGATATTTTTTTCTTTTTTCTGGACGTGCCCACACGTACAAACTGTGCAAGAAACGAACAGGCGCTCAACCCCCTAAACGACTAGTTTTCGTTTCTAAATAAGTATCTATATTTACGGATGGCCCCTAAGGCAGAAGCGATATGGACTAAAAATATGCATGTGCAGAAATTGACTACAGCCGGCAAAAAAAAGAAGAAAAAAAGAAAACCCTTGCCGAGTACTCACATGTGTGAGATGGTTAAAGGACATCCATTAGGCTAAAACTCCCACTGAGTTTCTCCATTCAGACTTGGGGAAAAAATCAAAACCTACAGTGCAAAGAATCACTCCTCGCTACAATGGAGCTGGGGTTGAAACCATGGGAACATCACCACATCTCCTCTTTATCCTCCTCACCTGTTCGTCCGTTAGTGGTAGCCAGTACAACGCAGGTAGCGTGTTAGTCTTGCGAAACAACTGATCCAGCACGTTTGCTGCCTGAGACTCCTCGTGCTCAACAACATGAGGTCGGTCCCGAGAACCTGAGCAAAACATCCAAGGTAACCAAGAGAAACGTGTCAGACTTCAGCTTACATGAAGTTTCAATATAAAAACATACGCAAAAGGACCACCAAAGCTTCGCGTTGATCAGAATAGTCTGTCATTCATGGTGGGGAAAAAAAGAAGGGAAAAAGAAGAAAAAAAGATACGGAATATGGCAAAGCGCTCATCCAGTAAGCCATAATAACTACCAGTCTATCTGCAATGCCAAATCAATGTTGCACCGGCCAGGTATGTAACAAAGCCACTTCAAAGAATACGGCTTGTTTCGTTTTACCAGTGCAGAATACATACAGTAAGTACACAAGTGGGGTTCGAACTCGCAACATCATGCTCACAAGTCACACACTCTACCACAGGGCTATGAAGGAAACTGCTGAAGGTCCACCTTGGGATATCTGTAATGGATTACAGTTTCTACAAATTAGCTTCTTGTTTTGCTGGTCTAGTGTGAGTTATTTGCATGGCATTGGACATGGTTAGCATTTTAGTTAGTATTTTTACCATACGCTAAATCCAACGGTACTCGTACCTAGCACCTAAAATACCGTCGGTTTGGTATCTTAAAATGGCAATAAATAAGATAAATTGTGCACTCATAACAACAGCAAAAATGAAGAAAGTCAAGTTCCATAACGTTTTCTTGTGACTGTCATCAGTGGAACGCCGTCACATAAAAATGTAATAACTAAAACACACACTTATATACATGTAGCTAATATGGTTTCAGGTAGAAATACAGCAGCTAACAAGTACAAAAAGCGAAGTTTGCACCTTTGCAATGTGTGAATATAGTGTATGTGAGAAAGGTAGTGGCAGATGAATGTGATACTGATGGTTTGGTATCTTTTCGACGATTGAGGGCTCTGTTCATGGGAGCATCATGGGAGCACGAAACGGCAAGACTCCAACTTCATGCGCACAGTGTGGCGAGTGCATGTGTGTACAACTGTCTGCTGTGGGTAGGGTGACGTCGCAAGCCAATCGTTGTGTCACAAACGGAAATGCTGATCATGCATACACAGTCACACACACACAAAAAAAAAGTACGGGCCGATCGTCGAAAAAAAATTAGCATGAACGGTTAAAAATGCTAACCATGTCTATAATTTGTTGCCATGAGCAGCTATCTTTCCCTACACACTTCAGTTCAGCAAGAAAATGATGAGACTTCCACGCGCACGAACACGCACACAGTGCATGCTAAATCACCCATGCACCTTTACACACTGCAGAGCAGACCACTCGCACCCACATACCCACACATAGTAATTACAGTACCTAGCTCTGGTGCGGGCACTTTCCTGTCGCCGGACTTGCTCTGGGACGAGGATCGACGTTCTCCATCGCGCTCAGACTGGCGATCGCGTTCCCGCTGCTCCCGTGCAGCTCTCCTAGCCTGCAAGTCGATATTCCTGTCCGCCCGTGGATGATCGCTCCGTCTTCCATCGGTGTCGGTTGCAGGCGCCGACCTGCCACTGGCGTAAGCTGCTTTGGCGGAGACAGATGATGTGGTGACAGATACTGATGTACCATCAGCCATGCGCACTGACATCTGGTTATTCGTCTCAACAGTAATCTGCAGACACGCATTCACAAAGAACATAGAAGCGCAACGAATATAAACTGAACAACAGCACACAGACGACCCCTACTGAGCTCAGGAACTCCAGCAGTCAACGAAAGTCAGCTGGTTGTCCATGCCAGCACCCCGGCACACAGTGTGAACTCACCAGGGTTGGATCGGCAAAGTCCACAGATAGCGTGCGCGGGCTAGTGGTAGGCCAACGTGCACCGTGGAGAGCTTTACGGCATTCCTCTGCAGAGTCCACCTCTTCAAACTGTAAGACCACATGTGCACATGTGCGCATGCACACACACACACACACACACACACACACACACACACACACACACAAAGCACACACAAAGCACGTAACTGTCAAGAGCATTATCACAACATTGGCATGCTGCCTGAGCACCAGACACCCGTCTCCTATCAATGATAGTACACCCACTCCGCCACTCTAGGAGCAAAGAGATGGTTTTCTCACAGATCGTGGGTAGATACAAAGAAACACTGTCCTCACCAAACACTAAGCTAGTATTGGAGTGGAATAAATATAGCAAACAGCTTTTGCACAGCAAACCAACACCGAGAAGCAAAGAGCGATCCACCTCGACACTTCACACCTCGCTATAAAGCAGCTGTGCAGCAAATATCCCACACACAGAAAACTGTACCCAGCACAGCAGCCACAGCAGGATGAGATCAAGAGTAGTCTAGCACATACCGAAACATAACAGTGTGACTTGATACGATCAATCCAAAACCCATCGGGCACAACGGGGCCGTGGCGACTCAGCAGCTCCTTCAGCTGCGGCAGTGTAAACGGACGCACAAGACCGTGAATACTGATGGTGCAAGAGGCGCTCTGCTGGGATGGGGCAGCATCACCGCTCGCTGGAATTGGCTCCGACGCTGTCCCAGCATTGGTACTCAATGTGCGGCTAACACCGGGGGCGGCTGCAGGCAACACAGAAAGGGAAGCAAGGAAACAGAAAGTGATCAGTCTCCAAAATGTCCAATACACATGCTGCGTTAACCTGTTCAGCACGAAGGACGTAATAATACGGCATTTAGAATGACACTGCATCACGGAGGACGTATTATTACGTCCCGAGTGTAGATTGCGTACATTCGCGATTTGCCTGGACCGTGTGAGCTCAAATCGTAATTGTTGGTCGATTATCACGATTGAAAAATGTATCGAAAACTCTCGGCTCGCGATAGAAACAATCGCCGAAGCGATATGACTCTGGGTTGTTGAGATATGTGACTTAACACGGCAAATTCAAAAAGAATTTTTTGCGCAGTCTGCATAATGCGTATAGACCATTTTCGATCATTTTTTTTCGCTACCTGCTGCCATGGAAACTAGATGCAAATGATGGTAGCGGATCTAGGGAGTCCTAAAAAAAGTTGAGCTCAATACAAGCAAGGAGAGTGAAATGGCAGCTGAGGATTTGGTCGCTTGCCCGTTCTCAAGTCTGTCGAGCGCATGGGTGAAGTTTGCCAGACTGTAGCATGGGCGTTTGGTTTCGCTCCGAGCCGAGTTCGAACCTATTGCGTTCCTCGTCTCAAGACCTTTCCAGGAAGCTCAAGATCGTGGAATTCGTCCACGGGAAGGCAAAGTTATCGATCCTTGAACGGCTAGTACTTTCATAGGAAAACGCGACTTTTGCAGGTGTCGACCTGGGGCGACATCCAGGTAGCGTCGTGCTGAAAAGCCGGGGAATATGCCTTCTAAACAACATACAGTTTTGAGCATTCAAAGCACATGCCAAGTACATACCCTGTTGTATACACTGCACTATCACTTACATGGACATCAAGTATGCACTTTTCAAAACTAACTACACTGGAGCCTTCCTGATCTGGACCTCCCATATCCAGGCCGTATCCGGTCACCTCTCTCCACTGCGTGCCATTCTGCGACTGTTGTATATTTACTGCATGTACATGTACTAGTATTGAATTGAAGTATACTCCACGTGGCCAGCATGTAATGCATGTACCTTCCGCAGGTACTGTTTTCATCACACGCCATACACTTGTGCAGTGCTCGACTTTTCGTGACAGATTTTCGCTCAGTTACTGACGCCCCTCCGCCCCAAGGTGGCCGGACAAGAGAGGGCTGCGTGTATACCAGTACTACTAACACTGGGCTACGTAGTAAGGAGGGTGCCACTGCTGTCTTCATGAGGCTAGATATCACCTGACACCACTCAGCATCACAGCTACTCTGTACAATGCAAAACTCACCAGCATTATGGCGGGTGTCCGAAGAAGAGCTGACACTCCTGCCGGAGATGGGGGCGGCAGCAGCATCAGTAGCAGCGCTACCCTCCGCAGCAGTGCCCTTGCCCAGTAGCTGCTGACGGCGCAGAGCATCCTGCTCGCGCAGGTGCTTCAGGCGCTTCTGCTCGGCTTCCTCCTGCAGGGCAATCTCTTGCTCCATGCGACGGCGCGGTGAAGCCATCTTGGGTGAGGCAGGATGGTCTCGCTCAGCCTCGCTTGCACCACTAGAGCTGCTCTCGGCGGGGACCTCCACGGGGCCTAGTCTCTGGTGCACGGAGGATCTCGATGATGACCCTGCGATATCAGATGACGAGCCTGACTTGGCAACCTACCACGATAGACATAGCATAGCAATACCAGGAAAACAAAGATTTTGTAGGGACTGACACACTGGCAGATCCATTACTGGAAATGGCTCCTATACACACTACAGCCATTCGAAAATAAACTAAAAGACAAGCACAAGCAACATTGGATTACACACACACATACCGTAAAGTCGCGGATAAAAGCCGGGCTTATAAGCACATAAGCCGCTTTCTGCATCAGGCTTCAATGCAAACCAGGCTTATATGCACCACTGATATTTTTGCCAGGCTTGTATGCACATCGGCCGATCCGGGCTTGCATAGAAGCCAGGCTTCTACGCGCGACACGCGTAGATCTACCACTGACTACCGGTATGGCGGCAGTTTTACTATGCACTGTACGTAGCGCATGCACTCTTGACCTACCCGATCCGCGCTTGCATAGAAGCCAGGCTTCTACGCGCGACAGGCTTATATGCATTGACTCGTTTGATTTTCAGGCTTCTATCCGCGATGTGCTTGTATGCAAACCCGGCTTTTATCCGCGACTTTACGGTACATGTACATTCACACACACACACACATACATACACACACACACACACACCAGACACACACACCAGACACACACACCAGACACACACACCAGACACACACACACACACACACACACACACACACACACACCGACACACACAGAGACAAACACACAGACAGACAGACACAGACACAGACACACACACACAGACACACACACACACACACACACACTATATATTTAAAATAGAACATTCACTATTATGCAATGGCATACCTTTGCTGGCAGTTCTACATCGCGGTCACCATTCGACGACGTAGCTTGATCAGAGCCAGTCCAGCGACGCTTGCGATTCTGAGCAGCTGTTTCTGGATCTGCAAATAAATATATTGCACAGTTACAGAGTTTACGCCAGAACGAGGAAAGAATTTAACATGGGGGCGCAACCCTTGAAAGAAAGAAAGAAATGATCCATGACCCATGTATATATGCACAGGGAGGCAATGTGTGATAAGCATGCAGTGGTGCATATTTGGCACCCCATACTTGAACAGCTCCTGACACCCTGCAAGTGGTGTGCATATACATGTACACATAATCAAATACAGAGATGCACTGGGAACGGGTCCAAGGCCAAGGGTGCCAGTTTGGCACTTTGCACCGGATTTCAGCTAGTGTGACTAAGAGTAAGAGGTGTACATGTACGTGACAATCTCAGGAAAGGCAATGATGGCCAGAAAACGACGCCCAGTTTTCACCAAACGTGGTGCAAGAATCGTCACCTTTGCCACTAAGCAACAGCAAGCTGATTCTATCATGCTGGCGCTTCTGCACTACCACCAATGCAGAAGATCTGCTAGAGATGACACACACAGACGTTCAACTGCTCCTCGGTCAACACTCCCAGACTCGTGAAACTGGAGATACATCATGGTTACCGTAAAGTCTTGTATAAAAGCGGCACTTGAAGAGAAGCCGCCCTCGTATAGAAGCGGCAATTTTGGGCCCATCAAATCACATATAAGCCTGGTTTTAGTGTTGACATACATAGAAATACCTGTCTTGTATAGAAGCCTGTCTCATATAGAAGCCTGCAAAATTTCACCAAGTCACAGAAGCCGCGGCTTTTATATAAGACTTTACGGTAGGTGCGAACAACTTCAAGCTCCTGGTAGCCGCCAAAATGCCATACATAACTTACCAACATCTCGGGAACGACGAAGTGATAAGCGACCCTGTTCAACAAGACACAGCAGCACAACCAGCTAATGAGCAACTGGAACTACTTCTGAGGCCAAAGAAATCCAACCCACGTGCCAAAAGCAGCGCCAAGGCTCATGCGGCCCTCGGATCAGTTTTGGGAACATGCATGATGTAATTGAAAATGGAAACGCGGGTCGGAAGTCTTTGGCCACGACTGTAATACATGCACATGCACGTGCACACACACACGCACACGAACACAAGAGAAACTTCTCCTCGTGCTGGAAGGGCAGGGATATCTGACCAAGCAGTACCAAAGATATTTTCCTCTTTGTCCGCACAAAATCCATACTTGCAAACAAGTCAAGAAATGGAGTGACACTGTCAGACAACGAGAATAGTAGTATCCCCAACATCTCCACAGCAGCAATATTCAGAACAGAGCAAAACTTTGGGAATAGCGACACGCAGGATGAATTTGATCAACACTGTATCCTTGAACAGGCAACATAGAGACTATAATCGTACGCAAATACTGCATAGCAATGAAAAAAGTAATCTGCATGCTCATATCACAAACATGACAACCACGGTAGCTTTCCAGAACTTTTCTTTTCGTGGCTGTCATATTTAAACTTCAATGAAAAGAGGGTGATACGAGTGCGCAGCATTCTATTCATTGCTATGTTCCAGTGTCTTGTTCACAATTCTAACACATGAGCATGCTATATGCAGCACCGATGGGAAAATCAGCTGTTTACCAGGCTCTATGTAAGCCATTTCACCATCATAAACTGCAGGGAAACCATACACACAATACCAAGCACTAACAGGAAATGTACATACCGGAGTGGTAGGAGACGGCTCAGTCTCTTTGGACTCTTCCCTGGGCTTGTCGGATGACTTTGATACATTTACGGCAGTGCTGCTATTGCTAGCACCCAGGATATTATCCGCGGCATCATCTTCAACGGCCGTTGACACAATCATTGAGTCACCGCCATAGTCAAGTCTCTCCTCCTCCTCTTCTTCTTCAGCTAGAAGTCCAGCACACAATAACAGCTAGAATCAGCCATGGGTCACTAGTAGCATGCCACTGCCATGGACATGGATCAACCATGGGTCACTAGTAGCATGCTACTGCCGTGGACATGGATCAACCATGGGTCACTAGTAGCATGCTAGTGCCGTGGACATGGATCAACCATGGGTCACTAGTAGCATGCTACTGCCGTGGACATGGATCAACCATGGGTCACTAGTAGCATGCTACTGCCGTGGACATGGATCAACCATGGGTCACTAGCATGCTACTGCGGTGGACATGGATCAACCATGGGTCACTAGTAGCATGCTAATGTTGTGGACATGGAAACCCGGTCAACGGTCAAGCGGCCACAGGACGCTGGCCATGCAGCCGTTAGTACATGTGCACTGCGATCAACATGTGCACTGCGTGCAACGTTCTGTACACACTGAGGGCGCTGGCCCCGGTCATTCGACTGGATTTCCATGTCCGCGACATAACATTTGTACATGTACGTATAAACGGAGCTTCGGCCTTCGCATGGCATTCTGGTGAATAATAATAAACTCGCACCATCGACCATCGAAGCATAATACTATAGCCAGCCTTAATATGTGTGTGTGGGGGGGGGGGGGATATGAATCGTTATAATTACACATTGTCCAAGTGTAACTTCTATAGTGAAGCACTATTGCCGTCATCTAGGAAAATGCCATCATCACACAGTGCCACTCACCAGGATCAAGAGATACGTTCGCACCGGTAGAAACATTCATTTGCTGCTCTGCGGTGGCATTGCCATCTACATTATCAGCGCGCTCACTGGTGGGCTCGCTGTCAGGTTGCGGCTGCTCTCCTGCTCCGTCCTGCAACGGTAACATACATGGTTATACAACGTCAGCAACTTGTGACTTCTGCTGCTGCGCGTCAATGAATGACGGTTTAACAATTGAATTAACTTTAAAAAATCATTTGATTTACAGGCTTTTTTCTCGTCATGACGCCACGTGAACAAATAAAAGTCTGGTGCGAAATTCTAGTCGGCCACACAGGTGCGGGTCCGCGCAGGTTTTCTCTAGCATTCTTTGCAACAACACAAAGTGCAATAAAGGGCATGCTCACCTCCTGCGGAATAGAAGTGTCGTTGTTTCCAGGCACTGGGAACCAGCAACACACCAACACACCACATCAAGTATGCTTCCGCCATTCTCCATCACACCGGTTCACAAGACTTACCATTTTGCTGAGCCAGCAACGCCTACAGCCACAAGATAATCCACACAGGATAAATCAATTCAGACTTAAAATTACGAAAATAAATAAGTGAAAATCGAAATTGGCAATTACCTCACGAAGGCGCTCTGTTAAATCAGCTTTATTTCCCTTCTGTGGCAAACCCAGCTTTGCCAGCTCCTCTTTCAAATCAGATACTCTGAGCGAGGACACGGAGCGTCCATCCTTCAATGTAACGTCAGCCATTTCAGTTACTGGTACATAATTTCCAGCACTCAAAACTACAAAAGTCTAAAAACACAACTGAGCACTACACTACAGACTACAGTCTACACAGCATGCAGTACAGGAGATGTTCCAGCTCGCCCCGCGATTCCGCACAAACGCGCAGCGACCTCGTAGACGTAGATCGACGTAGCGGCGAATCGATCGTTTTGATTTCTCATGATACCATAGTGATGTCAGCTGCGCATGCTCAAAACAGTAATGGAAGCTGGGAAAGATGTAGGCTGGTGTGGCGCGGTGGAGACGAATGTCACTGCTGATGTCTGTAAAGAGCTCCTGGATAAGGGGTTTGTCGTGGTCGACGGCATCTTCGGGAGAGGAACGAGCGAAACATTCTACAAGGAGTTAGAATGGCTGTACAAGAATGGGCACATGCTGCCCAATCAGGTACAATTTCAGACATCTGGAGGGCCTGTAATATTAGAAAAACCTAACATTTTTGAAGCTGACATGCATGATAGCAAACTGACAAAATTGAGTGAAATCGGTCACTTTAGGCAAGTTTTTGAGAATGGTGACAAGTTGGTGAATATATTCAACAAGCTCGTGCCATTGGGCCTGAAAGAGGGTCAAAAGCATCGCACGGTCAAGTTACAATATAATAGTGGTGGAGGCGGTTGTTTTCCATGGCATTATGACAACCCATCTCGCCCGAACAACCGTGGCCTGACTATGCTGGTCTACCTAAACAGCGACTGGGTACAAGGGAACGGTGGGGAGCTGGAATTGCTGCCATTCCTGGAGCGCAACGTGGTTATACCCCCGCTGATGGACCGGGCTGTTCTTTTTCTAAGTGATCGCGTCTTGCACCGGGTGCTGCCATGCAACTCACGTCGACTCTGCTTCACAATCTGGTTTGATTCGGCGACAGTTAACAGTGATGATGACGTATTCCTGAAAGCTAAACACCTTAAGCCATCTGCCGTGGATACGCTGAAGAGCACGTCGCTACAGAGAATACTATCCCGTGCCGTGTATCGGGAAGAATACGAGCAGAGTTTACTGGATTGCTTTGGCCATGCTGAGGGAGGCGGCGTGGAGTCCAGGGCCTGCAAGATCTCGTTAAAACTCCACAGTGCACACCTGCAAGGTCTGCTCAAAGACGACCAAATGGTGGAGTTTGTCGAGTACCTGCGTCGACTAAAACCCCCAGTTTCTGCTACTGGAGAAAGTGCCGCATCGAGCTAACCATGCTGTTGCTCAGGTGGTCATGCGTGCCGGGATGTGTTGTTCCCTTGTGCTTGAGAACTCAATGTTTTGTCGCATCATATTGGGCTAAATAGTGTTGTCTTGGCACCAGCTTATGCAATGCATGCTTGGTCTTTTTACGTCCGCTGTTATGCTGCTGCTTATTAATTTTAGAAACATGTTTACGGCTGGCCGGCTTGGCATGTATTTGCTCCATGGATTTCCATTGACTGGAAATGTAGGTGTTTTCTTAGAAATCGGCGAGGTTAAATCCCAATCTGACAATGATCAAATAATCCAAACCAGTGTTCAGCAAGTGTGTGTGTGCGCGCGTGCGTGCGCGCGTGCGTGCGCGCGTGCGTGCGCGCGTGCGTGTGTGTGTATGCATGTGTGTGTGTGTGTGCATGCATGTGTATGTGTGTGTGTGTGTTTGCGATTTCTCTCTCTTCTCTCTTCTTGTCGTTGTCTCCCGCTTCTGGGAGCGGCGTGGCCCGATAGTGTGTGTGGGTGGGTGGCTGTGCACGTGTGTGGGTGTGCACGTGTGTGTGCTGTGCATGCCTGTTTGTGTTGTGTGTGGCGGTGGGCATTCCGTGTGATCTAGCTACATGTATGCGCAAACATCAGCTGGTATAGTGCCGGTACATGTAGATGTAATCCGTTCGAGTAAGTCAGCTCTGCACCCGGCACCAGCTGAACATCCCAGTGTTTGCAGATGTAGAGCTGCGCATTGCCTGGCGTGTACTTGACTCACACGATTGGATGTCATTGAGCAGGACTGTACATGTACAAATATGCATCAGACGGTATAATAATCATGGATTTCTAACATTAAGAGTTGGACGGGTCTTCCCTTGCATGCTCTCTCTCATGCAGCACACGATAGAGTTGGATTCAGAGACATCATTCACAATTCTCTCGCTGATTAATGCCTCTACGATCACCTCGTGATTATGAATTATACATACATACATACATACATACAGTAACATTTAAGATTGCGCGTACATGTATGTGTAGTCTTGGCTACATTTTATGGAGAGGGTGTGCTTTGAAAGTGTTGTGAAATGTGTTGTGAAATGACTATATCTGGGTCAGGGCTTCACATGCTTTTCCGTCCAGATTTCTCCGCGGAGAAAAATTATACGTGAAGGCAATCATCAGAACACATCCCACGTGACCTCCTTCTAGTACCTGTGCACTGGCTAGCGAGCCATCATTTTCAACATGTGCTATTTGGAATTGTACGACCCCTGCTATTTTAATATAATATTATTTACTCAATCTTCGTTCTTTGTGAACTCATCAGCGCAGATAGATCTACACTTCAGCACCATGAGCAATTGTGAAGCCAACTTCTAGACACGTGTAATGCCAATGGGTTTATGATGGGCACTACACTGTACTACAATTATTATTTTTTTAAATATAGTCTAGTACAATAATGTGTAGTACATGTACTGGTACGCTGGCCAAATGCTCAAAGTCCATATCGCGTATAGCTACATGTGCACAACACAAATGCAACTGCTCCAGTTTTGGGAAGTGAAATCCGACCAGTGTAGTGTACACCAGAGTGTAGTGAAATAGTGATACTCTTGCTATTGCTATTGCTAGTACAGCATACTGCACGCTGTGTGAACATGCACTCAGTGGCTAAAGTGAACACTGGCCCGGATTTCACTCTCCACAACACATACAAACACACACACACACACACACACACACACACCTCAGACCTCAGACATGCCCATCGCGGAAGCGATGATAGCGAACAGCTATGTTAGACATAGCAACTTGTGCTGGGATTACACCATTCAACAGCTTGCAATTTTTCATATTTTCCATTTTTTCATTTTTTTCTTTTTTCTTTTTTTCTACACACACACACACACACACACACACACACACACACACACACACACACACACACACACACACACACACACACACACACACACACACACACACACACACACACACACACACACACACACACACACACACACACACACACACACACACACACACACACACACACACACACACACACACACACACACACACACACACACACACACACACACACACACACACACACACACACACACACACACACACACACACACACACACACACACACACACACACACACACACACACACACACACACACACACACACACACACACACACACACACACACACACACACACACACACACACACACACACACACACACACACACACACACACACACACACACACACACACACACACACACACACACACACACACACACACACACACACACACACACACACACACACACACACACACACACACACACACACACACACACACACACACACACACACACACACACACACACACACACACACACACACACACACACACACACACACACACACACACACACACACACACACACACACACACACACACACACACACACACACACACACACACACACACACACACACACACACACACACACACACACACACACACACACACACACACACACACACACACACACACACACACACACACACACACACACACACACACACACACACACACACACACACACACACACACACACACACACACACACACACACACACACACACACACACACACACACACACACACACACACACACACACACACACACACACACACACACACACACACACACACACACACACACACACACACACACACACACACACACACACACACACACACACACACACACACACACACACACACACTTCCAGTAATGTTTTACAACGACAGCGTGACACAAGGCGATGGACACATTGTATGTTTTAGCTATCAAGCAAGGCTTGCATTAATACCATTTCCATACATGCACTTCCTTCAAGCATGATGAATAGTACGAGTGCCTAAACAAACAGATGGCCGTGTTAACAGGTTCATCTTCATTCTTCACACGTAGATCTACGCAAGACTACATGGGTTCATCTTCATTCTTCACACGTAGATCTACGCAAGACTACATGTACTTGGGTGGTCAGTTCAGGCATGCAAGCCTGAAGCAGTTCAGACACGCAATCTTTTATTCAAAACTACACAGCTGATAAGATCAAACAGAGGGACACAAGCTCCACAGAATAGAAAGAACACCAACAGGAGGCAAGACAAAATAAAAGGCTGTGTTCGAAGCAAAAAGCAAGTACGTGACGACGGCGGAAGATCAGTCACTGGTCACTACACAGTGTGTACAGCATGATTGTGTGAAGTCTGAGATGATCCCAGAAGGCACTGCGATGCCTCCCATTGAGGATAGAAGTAACGCACCCAAGGATACAGCAGAGTTATGGCAGAGAACTACAACAGCTGCACTATCAACCGCAGGCATGAGCTATGAGGGGTAACTACAAGAAAAAGGCATTCAAGCAGATCACATGACCTGGAAATGGCAAGGGGGCAATCACGACCAAATAGGTCAATACAAAAAAACAGGGCAGAGAGTGGAATATGTGTGCGTGTAAACAAAACACACGACGAGTTATGACCTTATGGCATTACTATTAGTTGGGTTTCATGGATTCAAAAATATAATCTTAGGTAAAAACAAACAAAAACAAATTAAACAGAACTGATTGGGGAAATACAGCAGCGGCGACAATGGCCTCAACAGTGTGGCAAACAAAACACTGAAGATAACTCTGTACTCCACGACACTACATGCTTCTCCAGATGACAAGGAACAAAATCACACGACGGGAATATTAGCTGCAACAGCCGTGGACAGCAAGCCAATGTGGCCATGCTCACACCAGGAGAGGGACTGCAGCAGCGGGAAGGTGTTCGCGGGCTTGATGAATTGCGAGCAGGTCTTAGCCATGTTAGCCTGGCAAAGGCTGAGAAACAAAGCAGGATACACACACACACACACAGAAACAAACAACATCACATCGAAGCACGAAACACAGGGGAAATTTCTTGTAGAATTTCTACATTGTTTCCAGGGTATCATAAACACAAGGCGTATTTCCAAGACGCAAGAGTGTAGCCAATCAAGCGACGAAGCACCTTTGCACCCAGGCACTAGAAGCACACAAGCAGAGGCCGGCTGCACTGGGCGAGTGATCTGTTCCAGCATGCACGGTTACGTGATCAAGCGCTGGGGTGGGGATTTGAACATAAGCGTATATGTACTTGATCAGTGCATAGGGAGAACAAGGGCACTGGCCTCACTTGTTGAGCTCTTTGAAACAAGGTAACACCTCCTGCCCCCCCCCCCCACGGTTTGCGTTGACTGTGGGTCACCTGTACAAAAATCATATACCCCCAGTAGGTACAGAGAACTCACCGATCCAGAGGAGTGCGCACAGGCAAGTGCTCCAATCGGGTACACAATGTGACCACGTCGGCGTTGAGCTCATCCTGACGACTGCTACTCTCAGTGCCCTACCAATGAGACACCAAAACAAACACACACACACACACACACACACACACACACACACACACACACACACACACACACACACACACACATAACAGTTAGTCACATCAAACATGCCGCATTCAATGCAGATGCGCTTGGACAAAACACATGTAACAACTCCATTGTACTGCATTGTACTTCGTTAAGCCAAAAGAATTTCGGCTACTGGGTTTTGATATTTGTTTCACCACCACTGTAAATCTAAACAGATGTGTTTTGTCCACTTCCAAATTACGAAAATGTCCCATGATAAAAAAGCATGCCCTTGCATGCGAGGGAGCAACTTGTTTGTGCAATGCAGTGGCAAACATACCATTTGGTCACTTTGAAGTACTTGAAGTACTTATATTGACATGCGTTCAAGCAAGAGCAGCAGTATTGACAGGCACCATGTGAGTCCAATACACACCACACCAGGCACAACAGTGGACACGAAGCACCACTGGGTAGGACTTACTGAAAGCATGCGTTGACAGAGACGCAGGTAGTCCAGATAGACCTGGAGCAGGTCAATAACAGGTACATGTACAATGTCAAACCAGTACAAGTACAAGGTGGAAAGGAAGCAAACACCAGTAGCAAAAAGAGCATGTTCCCCAGGCGCAACCGTTTCATAACAAAGCTAGTAAGTGACCAGGACATACACTTTACCCGCACAGGCACATCGCAAGCACAATCACACGCACACACACCTACACACACAAACGCACAAACAAACACACACACAAACACACACACCTACACACACACAACACACACACACAAACGCACACCTACACACCTACATGCGTACACACACACACACCACACACACACACCACACACACACGCACGCACACACAAAGACACACACACACACAAATGCATTGCGCATAATACATGTACACACCCATGTACAAGTAGGAAACAAGCAAAGATAGCGTCGTACTCACAGTCGGTGAAATGCATTACAGTCCATTTCAAAACTATAGACGCGTGAACTCATACGTACGAGCCGCACGTACTGTAGCGCACGACAGCCGTGAGTTTTGCATGAGTGTTTTCTGGTTTTCAGATGTGTTTTTCAGGTTTTTCTTCGTCGCCGCGGGAAATACAAAAGATGCAAAACACGCAAAGTCGCAAATGAAAAGGTGTGGGGAAAGTCTCAAAAGAAATGAAAGTCTCAAATGAATCTTCTTCTTGTTTGCATTTTCTGACTCTGAGTGCCTGACTGTAATGGCTTCCAAGGCCCGTAAGAATCTCAGTGATGCCGAGAAAGATATGATTAGTCGTGTTCATTGTTTCTTCGAACAAGAGCTGGATTTTGATTGACGCTTGAGTATCCGAAATCCTCGTTGTCGAACTCACCTTGCAACTGGCGTGAGTGAAACCACTGTCACTCGTTGTGTCAGGCGAAGGGAACAGGGAGGCTCAAATCAAATCAAAAAGAGAAAATATAATTATCATCTCTACTGTATTTCACCCGACAAGATCCAAAACATGCAGAAAAGAAGAGAAAAAAAGGCAGGAGGCGTGATGGGATTCGAATGCCCCACACTTGTACTGGAAATCACGGATCGAAACCACGAGGCTACCAGGACCCGTACAAAAATGCACCCGCGATGGTCTGGCAGCACTGTCTCAGCAGGAGCAAAAATCCTAAACAAACTGGTCAAACCCTTAAAACAAACTGGTCAAACCCTTCAAAACAGAAATTACATGTAAAACCGGAAAACCTGGCCTAAAAATAAACCTAAAAATAAACTTCAATTGTAGCGAAAACAAAGTATATAGCCAGAATTGTGAAGCGATGCAGAGACGGAATCTGGAGAAAAAACTAAAAATATTTAAATAAATCCCATCGAATTTTGCAAAACACTACGCGTCTATAGTTTTGAAATGCACTGTAGTAAGCCAACAGAAGTACATACCTGGCCAGCTCTGTTCCAGCCTGGAATCATCGCACTGCGGTACAGTGGCTCGAGCTCCTCCAACATGGATAACAGTGCATTGGTATCACCTGTTGGCAACCATTCGCCACACAACACACAAAACAGAAGAAGGTTGAGCAGATTGCATTACGGCGCAGTGAAGCACAAGAACATACAAGAACACCCGTGCTGAATTCAAACCATGGAAGTACAACACACTAGATGAATACCTGATACTACCCACATAATAGTAGTACATGTATGCAGACCAGGGAGTCGTACTCAAACTAGGGAGGTGACACGGCACAGAAATCCGTGTCACAGGGGTTGACTCGCACCCGTGACCTCTCGTTGTTATTTTTGGAATAGTTCAGTCCAGTCCAGTCCGAAAGGTCATACTCGGATCGACTCGCCTTCTGTACTTCACCTCCAAGCGTGCAACGCAAGACCCGCAAAGTATGATTTTTCTGTGGGGAACGATTAACTATTGATCAAGTTTGGAGTGCTCAAGCATACTACGATTGCTGAGACGTCCCGAGCACGCTTGTTCAGGTTCTCTATTTTTGACGAGCCGGTCCTACAGCCCCCTACATTGTATCTAACGACGTAGGAGCTGACAATGTAAGAGGATTTCCCTGGAAATAATGATGATGGTGGTGTGACTGCTGCAGGAAAAATGCTGGCTGTTTATGACAGTATGACTAGATGTACAATGTAGCTCTCTTGTATGGTACTTAACCCCTGCTATAAATGTGTTGTTTAGGAAGACTAGTGTATTGTGCAAGTCATAAAGAAGAAATGGGGCAGATACACGACTTACAATTTTCAAAAACCAGCTTCGTGTTATGTCTAATTTGTGTCAAAATTGTAATATTTAGACATGACAATATCATTGGCTGTACTTCTCTAATATGGTACATAACCCCTGCTATAAATGTGTTATTTAGGCAGACTGGACCATTGTGCAAGTCATAAAGAAGAAATGGGGCAGATATACGACTTACATTTTTCAAAACCTGGCTTCGTGTTATGTGCAATTTGTGTCAAAATTGTAGTATTTCAACATGACAATATCACTGGCTGTACTTCTCTTATATGGTACTTAACCCCTGCTAGAAATGTGTTGTTTAGGAAGACTGGTGTATTGTGCAAGTCATAAAGAAGAAATGGGGCAGATACACGACTTACAATTTTCAAAAACCAGCTTCGTGTTATGTGCAATTTGGGTCAAATTTTAGTATTCGGATTAACCTAGGATACGACTCTGAACAGTTCTGAACAGTTACCGTAACACTACACGCTGTCTCATAACTGCTGCTGTTGCCATCACTGCTATCAAGTAGTTCGGACATGACAGGAGGTAAACAAATTGCTGGTAGTCTTTCAAAGAATACTGGCGAGTGACGGGCTGTAAACGAAATGTGCTGCCTCAATAATTTCAAAAACTAGACACCCATGCTGCACGCTTGGAGGTGAAGTACAGAAGGCGAGTCGATCCGAGTATGACCTTTCGGACTGGACTGGACTGAACTATTCCAAAAATAACAACGAGGGGTCACGGGTGCGAGTCAACCCCTGTGACACGGATTTCTGTGCCGTGTCACCTCCCTAGTTTGAGTACGACTCCCTGATGCAGACACACACCTAAGTTAGCCTTAAGGCAGAGCGGGCAACACACAAAGTCACCTTACCATTGACTATGGCCGAGCTGGCAATGTGCTTGATGATCACGCCGTGGCATGCCATCCACTGACCACCCAGCAGATGATGCTGAGCAGTTAGCAGGTGCTTGCCTTCGTAGCGAGCACGCACTGCCTTAGCCTGGTGGATCCATTCGGCCGGTACCGATAGTTGCTCCGTTATGAATTCGTCCTCCTCGGTGAGATCAGACGTCTCAGTCAGTCGACAATACCGGTGCAGAATCTCGTGCACAAAGCTCTGCCGCCTACACGCACACGCACACGCACACACACACAACCACACATACATAAACAGAGGAACCACCAACTATTGAGCAACATGACATATGCACTAGCAGTGACATAATGATTACTCCAGGTCAAAACATACTACATCTTCCACTTGGATCCTCTCTCTTCCATAAAATGAACAGAGGGATGTTGCCGGATGATTGTGCACTGAGCATGAAACTCATAGTTGCCACAAACTAGCCGTGCTCCACTGTTGAACTGTGAGCACAAGCAAATAACTGCCGCGAGTCTCGCCACAGTTTGCATTAGTAAAGCCAAGCAGACAGAGCCTTCAGGTCACATGCAGACGGGAAAGCCCAGTGTGACTCACTGACCGACATCAACATAAATGTAAAGTGCTACCGTTATAATTATTTGACGATACATCGAGGTGAGCTACTAAGAATAATATTATGGTTGTAAGCTTACAGCTGGCGTTGTGGAATGAAAAGAGCAACCATAATTGCCCATGGCCACATGTCCAGCGCTAGCAGTTGACTAGCAAAGTCACAGTGGAGCCGAGAGACCAGTGACGTGGGCATGTGCTCATAGTTCAGGCTCTTCAGCACGCAGAACAGAGGCCAACTGCAAACCACAGATACAACAGAGAAAATACACACACACACACACACACACTCTCTTCAATGTGCATTCATCGGAACAGTCTCAATAAGAGCATACGGCGTGACAGAGACTGGAGTAACGCAGGATTTACCAACTCGCTACTCTGCGGAAGAGATCAAAGTGAAGCAAGAGAGGGATGACGGATTAGACGTTGAACCGATTGCCATCATCTGGAGCTGCACTAAAATCAGAAGGCCCCACGAGGATTTCCTGATGTCAGAAAGTGTTTCACCAGCAGAGAGCTCCAATTGCGGAGCGCCTAAATCATGTTGAAATACTCGTCGCTGAATAGGAATTGGGCGTCGACAAAAACATCTATTGATCTACCAGACGCAACGAGTCCGGCCTAGGAAGTCCAATGACTTCTGGCAGAGCTGGACGGTAGTTGGCCATCGTGAGCAAATGCTCTTTGGACGATCAAAAGCTTTCATTGTGGCGATGAACTAATTTTTTTGGATGTGCACAGTAGAGATCTTTTTGCCTTTGCAGAAAAAATGAGGTTTTTCTGCAAAAGATGATTTTCACCTGAAGGTCGATTCTCGCTGATACTGGGTCATTTTACATTGCAGGGCAAATTACATGAGAAGGTGAGAAACCAAAAAAAATAACCAAAGCTTTTTTCGTACCTGAGCTGATAGTCCAGCACAAACGAAGTGTGGGTAGCGGGGTCCAGTGTCCGCTGCAAGCGATGGGTCTGCTTGCTGTACAGGCGTAGCAAGTGAAAGTGCATGTCGCGCACGTGGAACGAACCGTCGCCGTACACATCATCGTCCGCAGTCGCTGACGGCGACGACACCTTTACTGCGGAATAGTGTGGATCCGGAGCGACGGCATAAGCAGGCTGCGAAACTCGACCATCTTCGTCACTGTAGCCCTGAAAACAGAAAAAATCCGAATGAGAGAGAAACTTAACAGAAGGCCAGAGGCTATAAACTAAAACCAATGTTGATTGTATGATGCCAGTAACCAAGAGGTGCATGCATCCACGCAACATCACAGATCCAAAAAAAAGACGATAGCTCTCTAGGGGTGTCAGACGAAAGACACTGCCATTATAATACAATACCCAACTTGTACATAGGATGGATTAATACTTGATTATTCGTGAGCACGTGCAAGCACGCTTCAGCAAGTGTAGCAGATACGCAGCGCTTGTCAGCAATCTCTGCTGGCTGGCAACACGCCACTGACCTTGAAAGCTTGCAGATACCGCTGAAACCCATCAGCAATGGACGCTTCATAAGGAGCGGCATACCTGAAGAACGGCAGAGAGTAACATGCATTCAAGCAATCAGGTTGGGTGTACCACATGTACATTGAAGTGTGCAGCAAGTAAATAGCAAGACAAACAGAGAACAGGAGAACCAAGAGCAGACACTAGTCAGCATAACGTACGTATGCAGACATTCAGCAACACAGGCACTACACCCCCCCCCCCCCCCACACACACACACACAGAAACACATAATTATACACACATCTAGATCACAGCCACTATTAGACTACCGCTGCTGCTGCTGTGTGCTGTGCATCTCAAAGTGTATTCACAATGCACTGGTATGTGACTTACCACAAATGTACAGCAAATGCTCTGCGCCAGTCAACACCATCGCACGCACAAGCGTAGACGGACGAGTCAGACCCTTGCCACACCATCAGACCGGCCAGCAGGCAATAGATACGCAGACGTTCTTGTGACAAGAAGCGGTCAGTCTGAACAGCCAGTGGGCAGGAGAGAACAGGACACAAAATTAGAAAATCAGAAAAAAATCAGAAAAAGAAGTATGTACATATAAGAACGCATATGAGGTACACAACAATGACATAATGCAAAGCACACTCGGCACACACAACACACGAAGTATAAAATTCCCACCCTTTCATGATTATTTTATCATTATAAAACATTGAGTTTTGGGATTGATTTACCCACAGCATTCCAACCCGGCGATTGACAAAATAATCACAGGACAAATGAGAGCGAAGGTATGAAACTCAGTCACCTGCCTGTTGCTTTAATTTAGGGACAAACGAAAGACATACACAGCCGTACCTTTCTCTCCATCCACTGCTGTAACTGAATGGCGACGTTCTCTCTGAAACTAGAGGAACCCACACACTGGCTGATCAAGCGCGAAAGGTTTGTGTCACCATGGTCAATAGCTAGCCGTGCCGCAGCTGCTATCTGCTGACCAGTCAGCAAGGCAAACAGTGCGTTCAGGTAGCTCTCCTCCACCTGCAAACACACAGACATTAGTATACGTGTCGTGATGAGATGCAACGCAGAACACATCAAAAAAGCTGAGTTATCCAAGATGTTCACCTCACACATATGTAGTGCTGACATGCAACTACACGTAAATCAAATACATCACGATCTACTTTGGGTACTACATGATAGTACGGTTTACATTCCCACCAACACCATGCCCGGTAAAAACGCACACCGCAAAGTCGTATACAAAAGCAGTGCTTATGACCACATGTGCTGATCTGTGTGGGCCAGGCTTTTACTCAAACCAGGCTTCTATCTCAGTTGAAATTCAAATTGTATGCATAATGCATGCACAAAGGCATGCTTACATGCCAACACAAGCTGCAAATGGTTGTGCTATTCATATCACACTTGAATAGAACACTCCTCGCTATATCACATCGGCACGATTAAAATACCTGACACCTCACCCACACACACAGACATACACACACCTACCTGGCTGCTAGCCGCATACTGCACAACACTGCCAATATCTTTCGCCGTGACGGAGCTGAGCCACTGGGACACGGCACGGCGACGGGCCATGCGTTCGCCGTACGACTCGGACAGACTCAAGCCAGTATCCATGCCACCTGCACAGAGCAAGCAGCCAAACATAGTAAAGCAACAGGCCGAGGCTTAGGACCACAAAAAATGGCACAGTTGTCTTCAATCACTTGCAGGTATTTTTTGCACATTGCACAGTTGATGGCACGGCAGATGATAATCAAACAAAAAAGGCTCTCCTTGAGCCAGCAGCATTACAGTCGATTTTCAGAGCTTTCAACAAGATTTCATATACGAACATACCAGTAGCTAAACAAAAGCGGGGACAAGAAGACAGAGAGAGAGAGAGACACACGCACACGTACACATAGCAGCAGCCATGGAGGCACACCAAGAACACACACCTGTGTCAGGTGAGCCGCCAAGTTCGTTTGCCGATGACAGCTTGCCCCAGAGAGCTGAGGTCAACGCCCAGACCTGTGCACTGTACTCCAGTCCCGTCTTTTCATCGTTTGCAGCGCCATCAAAGCGCTGCTTTGCTTCTGTGGCATGGCAGTCCAGTGCCTCCACGCCATTCACTGGAGTCAGGTGTGGTACGCTGGTGTCCGTCGACACGTCCGTGTAGTCGAGCTGAATCTGCATGGAGCGTGTGATGCGCTCCTTGGCCGCACTGCTGTTCTGCAGCTGAGGAGAGGCATGCAGCTGCTCAATCTGCACACAGTACGACGAAGACTGGCTTATCGGCGCCTTGCCCATCATAGTCAATAGGCGGTTTTCACTGGTGGCTGTTGCCTTGTTTGCACTGCTTACAGCGCTACCGGAGTGAACAAGACGCCAGCCTTGTCCCCAGCCAACACGAAATGAACGGCCAAACATGAGTCCAGCGTCGGAAACAACATTTATCTTGCCGCTAGTGATTGATTGATCGGCAGGCACAGGGAGAAGACAGCGCTGTGCGGAGGCAACAGACAGTGCATCGTTACGCGGACCAGTGCCCTGCGCTTGTCCGGACGGCAGGATGGGCAGGCGGGCAATGTGTGCGGGCATGGGACTGCCGATAATGTCCGCCTGCAGGCCAGTATGCTGTGGCTGCTGCTGTTGTTGTTGAAGACGTGACATGCTGCCAGCAGCCCCACTGCCACCACCACCAAGCAATGTTTTGCGCGGGGTGAGAGCTGATCGGTGAGCGGTCAGCTTGGAAGACGACTCCGGTGCCAGGAAGGGAAGCTGCGTGGACGACGCGTGTTGCTGCTGACGATCATCTCCTGCCATGCGTGGACTATCTGTGCGTCGATAGGGAGACAGGGCAACAGCTGCCCCCGGACGCATTACCATACTTTGGTTACCAGGAGATTCATCACTGCCATTAGAGGCAAACAAGCCACGATCGCTGGCGGAGGATGGCTGGTAGACTTGGGAGGAAGATGGTGCAGCACCCAGTGTGATATCCATACCATCTTCATCGCCCTCTTCAGTGAAAAACGAGGCTTTCATCAGCTGAACACGGTGCGGGTTTAGTCCAATCGAGGCGGCAAAATGCCTGGATGAGGAGTTCACGGACGCCTCCTTAGTCGCCTCCGAAGTGCCTGTGTGCTCATGTGTGGCCATCATGCCATCAGTGTCTTCCTCGGTGTCTAGGCCTACACCAGAACACAGCCGGTAACACACACACACACACACACACACACACACACACACACACACACACATTATTATTGCAGTGCCCTCTAAATAGTTGTTTAAGCGGCGCACAACAACGCCCCGAGTCAATGCCACGCAATGACACCGGAAAAAGGAAAAGGATCGACATGGAACGTTCACCACTTACCATGGGTCTTAGCAGTCTTCGATGGGATCAATGGCAGCAAGCCCGACGATTCTGGCTTCTGGTCTCCTTGCTTGGTGGACAAGAGGCTAGCAATGCGCTGCACATGGAGATGACAAAGAGAAATGCATAGCCAAGGGGTTAGTGTCTGTATGCCAAAACACATTTGCAAGTAATAACAGATCATACATACTCACACCAGATGGCAAGTCACTTATCCCTCTACCGGCCAGTCATACATAAAAATAACTTGAGAGAAGAGTTTGGAAATAACCGCACACTTTTGGCAACAGAATAAATTGACTAATGCGGCAAACATACTGGATCTGATGACTGTAGCGCCTTCTTCTTCTTGAGTGGTGCCGCACTCTCATCTTCAGCATCGGAATCCTCATCAGGCAAACCATACTTGGAGAAATGTTCAACCTGGAGACAAGACAAAACCAAAACAAAAATACAACCAATGACGATAAGTTGTTTGCATCATTTAGCCTGTTGACTGTTATATTTGAGTGTAGGGCTGAAAAAATTATACCGATAACTCGCATATCGATCGTTAAGAGTGCAATCGATAATCGTTAGTGTTCAAAACGAGTGCTAACGATTCATCATGCATGCATATCAGTGACAGTACTCTAGCCCTTGCACTCCATTCGATAGTGAATACGAGTACAATCATGTACTTCCAAGCGCGGTAAAATTGATTTGTGGCTTTGAAAGAGATCGGGAGAGAAGACTTTGTCTTTTTGGTTCATTTGTGTGAGAGGTCGGCGATAAGAGCAGTTGCCAGAGGGTGATGACAAGAATTCTTTGCTCTAGAAACAACATGAAATTCTCTAGTTCATGTTGATAAAACCAGCCAGATTTCCACAGATGTCACCAGTGCGGTGCCACAAAATTCTAATGTAGCAAAAGGATCACGGAATATATTCATAAACGTGTGTGCGAGGCACACGAGTAGAGCCGACAAGAATCGATAAAACCAATATATCGATCGTTAATGATACTGGTCGATCGTTAGGAGTTATTGAATGATCGTTTCAGCCCTATTTGAGTGCACACTTGACCCTCTCTTATCTAGGCACCTTGAGGCCAAAGGGTGTTCATAACTCAGAAAAATCTGAAACTCAAAGCACCGCGCATGTGATAACTGTGTGATGAAGACAGCAACTGTTCATGGTACATGTATTACCGTATTTTCTTGAACAGCAGCCGCAGCCTGTATTCAAAACTAGCAAAACGGGTGCGGTCCTGAAAAATATTTGTACGTCACAATGTGCGTGCTGTATGCCGCGGTAGAGTTCACATACGATGTACACTGTTGAACCTTTGTTGTCCAGCTACACTGTAGGCTAGTGCAGCTTCTTTTCTTTTCCTGTTGCACTGGAAAGAATATCATGGCGAGGGAGCTTGAGGCTCGACTAGCAAGTTAGTTGCATGTTCAGCAGCAGCAGTCCCTCATGCCGACGAGGATGAAGTAGAGGGGCTTCAAGAAGACGTCGACGCTGAAAATTTTGGATGTTTCTCTTTCTGCGTTTGTTTCTTTCATAGCGTCAGTGTCCACTTTCTCCTAGACAAGTTCTCCGATCTGAGTTCTTGATTTTGTAGATTTGACAATCCTCAGAGCGTCTTACATTTCATCCGTTTACTTCGTTCGCGTCCCATTTTCTTTTTTGGTGGTCGATAAAATAACTCGTCTTGCTCTTCGTTATGTTGCGAGAGGTCATCATCATGGCGTGTTCGATTTATTCCCTTTTTTAGATCGCCTTTGAGTCCTTTGTCCGAACAGAGAGCAGCACTAGCTGCATGTGAAGGAGTATGACATCGTAGCTGAAGGTCATCTCGTAGCTGTGAAATTGCGTATAAATTGTGAATTGCTCTGCACTTGTGTACGAATAACACTCAGTTCAAATAAACTGGCGGCGCTTATTCAAGGGCGGCTGGTAATCAAGGGGCGGCGGGTGTTCAAGGAAATACGGTACAAGGTGCACATGTAGTGGTATAAATACTACTCAACAGCTCTAGAAAAGTACTCGGTGAAAGAGAGAGATAGATAGAGAGAGATAGAGAGAGACGCCCAGATACTGGAGGGTCTAGTGCATGCACAAGGATGCAAACAGCGTGGACCAGATGCCAATGCAGCACTTCACACATGAAACACATGGCACATACCTTGAACACCCAGGAACCAGATTCAGCACGATAATCAATGAACTCGGCCCCGATCTTGGCAGTGGACTTCATCACCTTGTTACGGTAGTTCATGATCTCCAGGCGGTTGGGACTCTGTTCAAACAACACAAGATAATAAGTACTAGTAACGGATCATATAGAATGGCGAGTCTGATCCTAAGTTTGCCAGTCAGTTGTCACCACAGCCATCCACAGTACAAAATATAGAGCACATAGAAACCATCGGAAAAAGTAACGAAATAATAGCCAAACAACAAAACAATAGCTGAGAGCATGTCACACCATAGAAGAACACCAACCTTGATAGCTTGTCCTGTGGACTTGTCATTGGGCCAGACTCCATGCAGCGTGATAATAGCAGGCTTGTTCAGCTCCTCGCCAACTTCAGGTTTCCTTTCATCGTCCGGGTAGACAGTGACTTCGCTTTGGCAAATGAATACTGCACAAACAGCAGCAGCAATAGCAGGAAACAGAGTGCTTAGCAAGTGGCAAACTGAAGAATCATGAACCATCCACAGGCACACAGAGACAAACGGCACTGCACAACGACACTACATGTGCGTGCCCTTCCCATCACACATCTGCTTCAACGTCAATTTCACACGCTATCCACATGCCACCATCCGCTGTAACTCACTACATGTAGAGGACTAAGGAAGAACACTAAAATATTCTTACGATACAAGCTCAGCCTAATCTTGGCGTGGAAAGTGTGTGTGTGTGTGTGTGTGTGTGTGTGTGTGTGTGTGTGTGTGTGTGTGTGTGTGTGTGTGTGTGTGTGTGACAGTGCCCCTTACCAGTTTCGTCCAGATTGACACCAGTCAGGTCGGTTGTGTCAGGGTAGTAAATCTCTCCCAGACCTTCACGCCCAATGGTGAACTTGTCCACGACCAGGCGACCGTCTCCGTTCACCATGGCGGCCAGTTCGTCGAGCGGTGGCTCCGTGTAATAATCGCCTCTGGCCAAAGTAACCATGCTGTCGTTCAAGTTCGATCCAGACCGAGGTGATTGTGGTGATGCCTGGGTCACGGACACATTGGCTGGTCGACCCGAGCGGCGGATTGGCCTGCGGAACGAGTCGTCGTTTCCCAAACTAGTGACGCTGTCGTCAGCCGCCTGCCGTGTGCTGCCACCGCTTGTGCTGGATGTCTGCTGCTGCTGTTGCTGTGGAGGCGATATCAAGCCCATTGTACCAAGCGGTGTCTGGGGGTAGGCAGCGTCGCTCATATGCATAGTGGGCATGCTGGCCTCAGTGACATCATCTCTGCCCGTGGATGGAGTAGACTGCATTCGACAAGAGTAAAGCAATGTAGACATGCATAAGAATGTGGGTAGCGCGCAGCAAAACAAGTTATACACCTGGTGGTACATGTAAAACGAATTTTGCTATTACAGCATCTATTCACAGTTCAGAGGTAGGTCTAATAGAACATTCAATATGTCATCTATTGAGCATTCGGAAATTGTAAGTTCTAACCACAAAGTGTATTGAAGTATAGTCACTAGTGAGAAACGCAACGGAGCACAGGATAATAGCGTCAAAGTAATTGTTTACGACAGCGCATGCATGCGACTATGACTTTCCCCTTCTCACAAACTGATCCACCATACATGCACTGTATGCAATTCTTGAAAACCGGCCAGAGCAGTTTTGCAACAGCAAAGCCACAGATAAGCTTACGTTGCGCAAAGGCGTTCCAGATGCAGACGCTGCGACTGAGTCAGATGGCGATGATGCAGCCTTTGGCTTGATGACTAGCTTTTTCACGCTGGACCGAGGGACGAACAAGTCCGGAGATGACAAAGTTCCGGGTACATCACTCTCCAAGCCATCAAAGAGCTGGGCCTACGAAGAAAGGAGGGCCAAAAATGGGAGGATACATTCAGACTCAAAATCAGCAGCGTTGGTACAGAATGGGCAAATATTTCCCAAGCTCGGCCCGAACGTGAAGGATACCCTTGGTACCTCAAGGGTCAGAAACACAACAAAAACAGGACATAGTGTACCATTGCACATTCCTGGACCCCCCCCCCCCCCAACTTCACCGAACATGTTGCGTGTCGTGAAAACATAAACTTATATGCATGTTTAGGAGTTTGCTCAACACTCACCTTTGCTGCAGGACGGCTCACCAGTGGCTGAGGACGGAGGCGAGCTACTGCCTTGGAGCTGACCTGGGCCATACAAGACAAGGGCAAACAACAACAACAACAATAAGGAGTGCACAATGAAACACCATCCAGGCCAAACACCCGACCAATTTAGATACTGCCATCCCTCAAGGCTGCATGCAATGGCACAATCACGCACAGCTTACAGCAGCCAGCAGCGAAGGCAAAATCTAGCTATGTACTACTTTCAAGATTACGGACATAGGCTTTGTGAATATTTACTTTAACGTCGTGAATAACACGGAGCATACCTTCATATGGGATGGAGTAGTAGTAGAGGATTTGCTTGCTGGGGTTGGCTGATCCTTGCTCCACTTCTTTGCATCCTAAGACCAGAGAAACAAGAGAGCACAAACTAGTAAGCCGAAGACCAGAGAGATAGAGAGCACAAAGCAGTCAAGCTATGAAGGTGGCATACAAAGCAAGGAGAGAGACGCCCAACTATGAACAAATGTGTGAAAGCTGACAGGTACACAGATACCAGTGCATTGTGTAGATCAAAGCCACTCTACGATGTTTCACCAAACACGGTCCAGGAAACTGGTGAAAAACTCCCGTTCCATCCGGGTGAGAGAGAGAGAGAGAGAGAGAGAGAGAGAGAGAGAGAGAGAGAGAGAGAGAGAGAGGATACACTGAGAGAAACGAGAAGCTTACGACTCTTGAAGTTACGAGTGAGGCAAGCTACACCTACCTCACATACACATACTTGTAAGAAAACACACAAACTTGACAAAGGTTCAGCTCACCTGCAGGGCAGTTTTGAAAAGCGGTGAATCTCCAAAGGGCGAGTTATGCAGCGTGGCGAGTTGAAGTTGCAGCTGTGCTTGCTGCTGAGCAGCGGTGGCTGCATCTGTACCCAGGGATGTCACCTGGCTGCTGGCGCTGTTGGTTGTACTGGTGGCGCCACCGATGGAGCTGAATCCGGCCATGCCTCCGCCGAGACCAGCGCCGGCGGTCAGCTTGAGACCAGTGCCTCCTAGCCCCGTCGCACCCACCTGTCCTCCCAGGCCACCGGTCAGACCAAGGCCACCGGTTGTACCAAGACCACCGGCAGTCAAGCCACCACCCAAAGTGCCAGTTTGACCTGTAGACGCAAGAGAGAACAATGCGAGCAAATGATGCATGACCAATAGTGTACCGGTCTCAAGCGCAAGAGAAAACATGCACAAACAGAAATGCCCGAAGCAATGCTTCCCTGCCATCTTATGGCTTTGATCTTGCACCGAACCAGCAAGACGTGTAAGAGGAATATTCAAATCTCACCAATTGCCAATGTGTTAAAGAGTCGCAAGAGAAATCACAATGCAACAATGCTAGACATCTCTTACCAAGCTTTAGCTGATTGGCACCGCCCAGCGTTCCTCCAGCAAGGCCACCGGTCAAGCCACCAGCCGCCGTGTTGCCAAACAAGCCGCCGCCAGCCGCTCCGCCCAGTCCAATACCGCCGGCTGCTTGCTGTGTCTGACCACCCAGTGTAAGACCTGGTTCATAACATACACATCATGCACATACACCCACCCACAGTATGCTTATCAGAAAGTCTACTAGTAACTGCCGACAAACAAATGTATCAGCACTGACCATAATTACAGACTATGCAAACAACACAGCTTTCCACTTTAAAAAAAGGACAACCCACCTCCTGCGGCAGTTTTGTTGCCAAATAAGCCTCCAGCAGCGCCTCCACCCAGGGTGAGGCCAGTCTGCCCTTGCTGTTGCTGCGCACCACCAAAGAGACCACCAGTCTGGCCTGTCGTGCCAAGGCCTGCATCAACAATGCACACACGCATACACACACACACACACACACACACACACACACACACACACACACACACACACACACACACACACAGGGATGCACGCATAGTTAGCACCGCCGAGTGCAAGAGAAGCCTGCAAGCCTGCAAGGGTAACTAGTCACCACCACCACTTCTCACAGGAGGCAGGCCAATGCCTGCACATGTACACAGCAAATATTTACACGCATACAGCAAGTGAGTCACATGCGCACTGTACACTAACTGCTGCTTACCAGTTAGTCCTGTCTTCTGGCCTGCAAACAGACCACCAGCCTGCATCAACACAAACAAAAAAGGGGTGAGTAATTCAGGCGATACAGCAGCGCCATGCATATGCACGTGTCTTCCGTACAAAACTGTGCCAAGGGATTCTTACCATGTGCTGAACACCACAAAACACATAATTGTAGTGCGATGCTGTTAACAGGTTCTGGCCAGGTCGGCTGGGTGAGCCAAGCATTACACCAACACTACCGATGTGTGCCACTGCTAGGCGAAGCCACCTGTGACTGCCATATGAACAATAACTTTAATATGAACAGTCAAGATACGGCCGGACTGATTGAAATTGCTGCCAACCTTCGTACTGAACCAAGTGAAGTTGGGATCTCTATGGCATCCACATGCGTTCTAAGCTTTTGTGGTCCAGGGCAACTACGGGTGAACGGGTAAACCTACCTGCTGCTGGGTCTGCTGTTGCTGGCCAAACAAGCCAGCCGCTTGCTGCTGCTGACCTGCTTGTTGATTGAAGAGCCCACCGGCCTGCTGCTGCTGTTGGCCAGCCTGACCAAAGATGCCTCCAGCCTGGGAGGTCTGTGGAACAATAGCAAACAGCCCACCATCAGTATTGCGTTAAAGCACTTCGATAGAAAGCGAGCAGGGTGCAGTCCAGGAGCACATTCCAAGGCAATATATGCATGGCGCTGTCTAAAAAGGCAGACATGCTATTTAATTAGGGAGGTTCAGTGCACAAAACGAAAATTGATTTCATTTCGTGTTAGAATCGGGCAAGTGTAAAAAAACTTTAAAAAAAGGTTCGGTAACTCATCAACAGGGCACGACATTCATTGCCACGGCGACACAACGGCAACAGAAACAGCAACGGGAATACAGGTACAAATGTACGGGTAGTATATCGTACTTCTTGTTCTACCATTTTGTATACTTAGTTGGGGCAGTGCGATCTCGGAGCCACTCACGAATCAAACAGCCTGGACTCGTGTAAACGAATCAAACAGCCTGGAGTCGTGTAAACGAATCCAATCCATGAGATACACACGTGACTCTAACCCAGACCTCTCCCATTGACTAGGAAACAAACGAGTGACTGAACCTCTCTAAGCTAATAGGCGTGTGTTGAACAACAAAATGGCCACATCTATTTTGGTCTATCAACGCACACATAGCTGATGCAACCAGAGATGGCGACCCAAGCCATACAATGCAAAGTACTTTGCACGATTGGATCCTAAATGAAAAAAACATGGCGATGAGAGCCACAACTCAAATCAAGGCACGGCGTGTACTTCATGACATGGAAAGCCACTGTGATAATGCCAGTTATTAACAAAGGTTGAAAGTTGTCTGCGGCTGATTCAAAGAGTCAAGGAAAGAAAATATCGGGTAAAAAGCATTGCCGGTACATAAGCCCACTCACCAGTCCAGCTGCTGCAGAGGTCTGACCGAATAGAGTTGTGCCTTGCTTTTGCTGATTGCCGAAGAGGCCACCAGCAGCAGCTTGCTGTTGCTGCTGCTGTTGCTGGTTACCAAATAAGCCACCACCCGCGGTTGATTGTTGGCCCAGCAAGCCTCCAGCTTGACTTGCTGTTGGAAGCAAACAACACAAAGAAAACGAAAGTGCAATAGGACATTTGATCGCTGGTACCAGAAGGTGCTGAGTATTCACAAAAGACAAATACTGCAAATAAGCCTTTAGGTACATGTACCTCCAAACACACAAACAGATCAATCGCCAACCCAATACTTACAATAACACTGAGAAGGACCCACTTCAGGCTCTTGAACGACATCAAAATGTCACTACAGTGTAGTATACAGTGAGTATCGTTTATAAAGTGACTGGGTGTAACGATATACCGGCTATAATGATAGAACTCACCAAAATCAAAATCAAATCACAACAAAATACAGCTAAAATATCACTATACACACTATTATCGGCTATACCGATATATCGCTTATTGTGATGGGCTTCAGGAAGCAAACCATATCAAATGCACAGGAAAATATCGCATATACTGATCAAGAGTGATGATCACAAAACAAGTGTTCTTCCAATATAGTTCACTTCTTCCAAAACTGATCCAATGTTGCCTGGATGCATCTGGCGGCAGACATGATTGAGAGAAATTTTTTCCCTGTACATGCTGTAAGCAGCCACATGTACACATGGCTGCTTTTTATGCTTTTTCCAGCATGTACGCATCATTTCATGCAGTCATGTGCCATGTGTCAGTCATACATGCAAATCGGCTATAGCGATGCACCGGCTATAGTGATAAATTATCGAAAATCAAAGGGGCACGTTATATCCACTACTTACTGTACTTTCAAGCCGGGTTGTCGTCAGGTGAAATACAGACTTACACGTAACAGTTGTACAGCACTCCCCAAACGCATAAGACTGGGAGCACCAACTTACTCTGCTGTCCGAAAAGCCCTCCTGCCGCAGCTTGTTGCTGCTGGGCACCGAACAGACCACCTGCTGCGGCTCCACCTTGGGCCCCCTTGCGGTTTGCCACGTAATCCTCAAGTCGCAATTCCTAAACACACAAAGTAGGAAGACATGAAGACAGTACGATTTGACTAATCTGTGTGTATATGTGTTAGTGGTGTGGGGAGGGGCGTGAGTGTGTGTATGTGTTAGTGGTGTGGGGAGAGGTGTGGGCGGATAGTAGAGAGATGAGCACAACTAGAGGCCAGCATCAGAGACCACGCAATGCTGTCCTTTTCGTGTGTTTAATGGATAGGCCAGGGAGGGAGGGAGGGAGAGGGAGAGAGAAAAGAGAGAGAGAGAATTATATATCATATTGTCCACAATAATGGAACAGATACAATACTCACTTCCAAACTTTTGCCGCTATACTCCTTCATCGAAGAGATGGTCTGGAATCTAGTCTGAATGGTCTGGGTACGATTGTTTTTGGTGACCGTGTCAGACTGCTGGGGAGCCTGTTCAAGGAATAGTGGAAAAGAAAACGAATCACCAAAAAATACAGGTAAAGACATGTGCAGTAAAATCTGTGAAGACCACCCACCCGGCCCAGAGGACCACTACAACCAGGACCAAAGAGTATCGATTCTAGTCGCTTGAACCTGGATAAGGGGGATTTCATGCTTTGAGTCCCTTGCACGGTTGGATTTAACAGGTTATATATGAAATATTGAAAATACAGCACACTCTGAGGACAAGGATAGAATCATTGCACTTTTCAGTGCAGGGCTATAGCCTGCGGTGTTTGTCAGTGATGTGCCCTAAGCTGATAATTTGGAAAGCTTCAACATTTCAAAAGCTCCGAGTAATGATCGTCGCCTACCTTGAATGCAGGTTGAGCTGTGCCATTCTGAGCTGTTGCTGCACCAAACGTGTTGCCTAATGGAGCCAAGAAAAGATCAGACAGAGCGCCACACACACACACACACACACACACACACACACACACACATTAGATACATGGAAGGCACTCCGCACATAAAGTTACTGCTACATGCTCACACAATTGATGTCTCTAAGCCGAGACAGAAATCCCCCCCCCCCCCAAAAACAGTCTTTAGGACAGGACTATGAAGCTCACCAAATGGTGTTGTGGTCTGCTGTGCTTTAGCACCCCCAAACAGCGAGTTAGTTGCTTGACTGGTTGGTGTCTGGAAGATGTTACCTCCACCACCGATCACACCGCCTGCACAACAGACAAAATAAATGCAAAGCAGAGCAGTGAGAACCACGGATAGACGGGACATGCGGTCCTCAAAATGCCCAAACACATCAGATCGGCGAAGCAAAGAGAAAGAAGGGCAAGACCATGCAATTACTGCGCTGGACATATCCGCACCAGCTAACCAACGTAGTGTGGTACGCATGTGCCGAAAGGGCCTCTATCCAAACTTACTCTGCTGGGGAGTCTGTGACTGAAAAAGACCACCTGCCGCTGCAGTATTGGTTTGGCCAAAGAGACCCCCGCCGGTTTGTTGCTGCTGTGGCTGAGCTGCCTGAGTCTGGCCGAAAAGTCCACCAGAGGTTCCGGTGGCACCGCCCAGGCCTGGTGTACGAAATATGCCACCTGCAACAAAGCAGAGGGAGATGTATTACGCGTACTGTTCAGCATTGGTCAGTGAAATGCAACACACACCACAGCCCCATAGTGGAGATACTGCCTCTATGTAGAGATGTCAGAGTGGTTACGTAATCGCCCTAAAATCGTGTCGCAGGGCTGACCATACCAGCTACAGTCACGCGTGGCACACGACCATGATCCTGCACCAGGCTGAAAAAATCGCGTGGGCATCCAAGCAGCATACTTCCATGGACTCGTACAGCAGCCCAAGCTTGTTTTTGAAATGTTTGGAGAGGAAGAAGGCGAAGAGCAAAGAGAAAGCCCCTGTTCAGAGTTTGAACTAGCAATCTGCGTTGTGTTTTCGCGAAGCTGCCGTTGAGCCAAAGTAGGTTATTTTCGTTTGGCTTTTTCGGTCCCTGCGCATCGGTGCACGCCTTGGATTCGCTCACCATCGTCTTCCGCGTCCTTGAATTTAGTTTCTTGCAAAGTTTGGTCGCCGTGCTTGCTTGCGCACCATAGTTTTTTGATCTTTTTGTGCGCACCTATGTGAACAGGGTACATATGAGTGGTCTACGTGCGTGTTCAAGTAGTGGTGTCAGTTCTGATGAGAGGCCCAGAGGAACAACGTGATTTGTGCGTTGGATCATCTCTGGCTAAGCAGCTCGAGGTAAACCAAATCGACACGATATCGGATGGACTGGTCTTGGAACAGAGCAAGGTGAACGATGAAAATAACTGTACAAAACACGTCCCAATGTTCCTGGATTCTCACTGGCGTAGTTGTTCGATACTACATTAGTAGCTTTGCGATAGAGAAACAAAAATGCTTGATTCCGACAAGGTGTTGTCCTTTGCCGTCCATGGCGAGACGAACTAATTAATTTTGTTGCTTGGAGTACGGATTCGTCGTAATTTTTGCACTTTCCCTCAGCACTGCACTTTGTTCCCCATGGCAACCGCTCATGACGCACTGGGCAAGTTGACGGCTTTTGTGCCATCGATTCTTGCTGTTTGTATGCAGTGGTGCATCCCTCAGCACGACAATGGCGGGTGCCTGTCATCCTACTTCGAGGGCGTATAAATACCGCTTCCATAGCTTGGATTCACCTAAAATTTGACCAGTACGGAGCGTTTTGGATACTGATTCGATTGGTATATCACTCATTCCTCTGGTTTCAAGTTAGATTTTTCGTCTGATATCGCTACTCTATGTGACTGCACTTGTATTCAATCGCTCTTTTACACTAAAAGGTATACAACACTGCTGCCTGTCCCCTGCTGATTAAGTAATGAGGTACACGGTCATGTTCTGCTAAGTCCTACAACTGTCGATTGTGGCACCTGCTCAGCAGAATAAAAACATAGCAGCGATACCGTTGAATTGATGTGTGTGTGTGAGTGCGTGCGTGTGTGTGTGGGCATGAGGGGGGGGGGGGGGGGCAAAAGCCAGCCGGACTTACTTTGTGGAGTCTGAGACTGAAACAGTCCACCCGCCGTTGCTGTATTGTTCTGGCCAAAGAGACCGCCGCCAGTTTGCTGCTGTGGCTGTGCTGCCTGCGCCTGACCGGCAAGTCCACCAGTGGTTGCGGTGGCACCGCCTAGGCCTGGGGTGCGAAACATACCGCTAGCTACAAAGCAGAGGAAGATGCAGCACACAGACAGAGAGATAGAAATACTGATTGTGGAGCTATCTCGAGGATCCTGCACATCCTTCTCCAGTCAATTGGGCTCGCAAGTAGAGTACATCAGGCATAGCCGAAAGCCGTAACAAGACATCAAGTCTGCTGGGACTGCCCAAGTAAAACAAACACTACTACAGTACTACCAATACTAGCTTTGTATTGTCTGCTACACTAAAGTGAAACAGTAAGAGCAACAACAAGCTAGCTGACACATGCGACAATAAAGTCAGCATGCACATCAATGTTGAATGGCATATCCTATGAACGTTCTGATATTACCAGTTCAAAATTTACATTGTACAGTATCACCAATTATTTAAATTATTACATTTTAGGGAGTCAACGCTAAAATAATTATTTAGAGAATCATTACAGTCCGTTTCCCAATTGAACACAAATTGCGAATCCTTGCAACAATAAACTGATTGCTAGGCGAATCCACTTATCGTAAACACAGCTCGAATCAAGCCTTCTAACGCTACAAACAAACTGGTCATCCGGAAGTGATAATTTCCCAAAAAGCATAACATCAGATTTCCACAAAAAGTACTTCGAAGTATACTGGATCCAGTATGAGACTGAAGGCAAACAATGAGTGCCCTTAAAGCATCCATATGAAAATCTTACCCAGTGATTGATTCTGAGGTGTCTGTGTTCCAAACAAATTCCCTGGTAGCCAGGACATACGAAATACAGTTCATATGATTCGAAACTCAAGTACATGTAGACTAGAACACAAAATTCTCAGTGTGAAACTTACCTCCACCGCCCGTTGCGCCAAACTTATTGTTCTGGAACATCGTGTGAAACCATAAAGTGAAGAGGCACAAGCGTTCTTAGTGCTACAAATTATACTCTTCAAATCGCTGACTACCCGGCATGGACAATTCCCCACAACTCATGGTCCGCACCAAACCGGTCAAAACTGGTCATACTTTTTCACGGAAAGAGCAAGCCTGCAGCTCAGCTTCGTTGAAAATGCGTGCAAAAGTCTGCGTCACCGGCACCGTCGGCACATGCACAACAACCTGACAACTGCATGCAACCCCACTAAAAATAGCGGCCACCCGTCAGTGCGACCGCGAAAACTCTCCCAAACGCGATCGCGAAGCGCGAAGCTAGTACTGTAGCGCGCGAAGATCCACAGGGAAAGTCCCATTTTAGTTCAAACTGCTGACCGTTTTTGGTGGCACGTTGTACCGGTCCATGCATTTGTACAATAATTACACTGTAAATGGTTTGGGGTTTTGTCATGCATCTCTGTGAATTTTGTTTCTCTGACAATGAGGTAGAAGCAGTCGTCGTCTGTAGACCTGTTCTGTTCGACAAGGATAATGTCTGACCGCGGAGAAATTAGACACAGGCGTGGAAGGCCTGCCGATGCTGTCACTGAGCCAGCGAAAGGTCTGACTGCTGAGGATGCTGCAGAGCCCAGCTTGACAGGAATTGTCGTAGAAGGAATTTTAGGTAATTTTTTCCAATTATTTATTCGGGCACTTGGCTTACTTTTTTAGGCCAGCTCAATGAAATGCACTGCAGTAATATCCAGTGTTTATTATTTATTATACACATTCCCGCGTTGAAGTGTAGCAGTAGTATGCTGCGTCCACAGCTTCGCTTATGCAGAATGGCTTGGGTGAGAGGAGAGGGGAGAGAAAGCAGCAAGGCGACCAACATCTATGAAATAGGTCACAATAACATCAAGAGTACATAACCCCCAAGAGTGTGCAACTGCCTGCACAACCTCTATGCAGTGCTGCGACGACAGAACTTCACATCACGTGACATGGTTCAAAAGGTTACACTGGAAAACAGTGCAAAGTGATCACAAGAGAGTTGTACCAAGAGTACATAACCCCCCAGAGTGTGCAACTCCCACATACCCTGTTGTCCCGACAGAATTTCAAGTTGACGTCATTATTTATGACGCAATGCTCCTTGCAGCAGTGATTTACAACATGTGTACGGGTGTCAACGCATCACACGTTTTTCTTTGCAATAATTTGTACAGGATCGATCGGCTTCGGTCAACCACAGGTTCCGGATTCGTCTGATAATCCGTGTACAGTGCGCATTGCATCATCAAAATGACGTCAACTTGAAATTCTGTCGGGGGACAGCACCCATAGTGGAGTTGCACACTCTGGGGGGTTATGTACTCTTGGTTGTACCCAAAGCTGGGTTTCGTACAACCCTGTATCAATCATGCACAGACTCTACAGAGTGCAAATCATGTGTATGGGTTCATCACGTGATGTGAAGTTCTGCCGTCGCAGACCCTGTAGCTGGAGTTGCGCACTCTTGGGGGTTATGTACTCTTGATAACATGAAGAGAACCAACCTACATACAGTCAACTTCGCTTATAACGACACCCGGCGGGGCATCAGAAAAGTGTCCTTATTCGCGAAGTGTCGTTATACCCGAAGTCTCATTATGTGTTACAGTTGGATGGGACTTTGCTTTGGGCATGAAAATTCTGTCGTTATTCGCGAATTGTCGTTATATCCGCAGTCGTTATTAGCGAAGTTGACTGTATGCATGATTGCACAAGAATGGAGAAGACAAGTGGCTATAATCATTGTTCCACAAAACCGGTACACAGGAGATCTGTCGACAATGTAACGAAACATAAAACTCAGCTACTCAATACAGGTTCTACTAAAATTCAAGGGAACAACGCTACGACATTAGAATTACCGCTAAATTGTCGCAAGTGTAGAGAACGAGTGCAATAGAAATTCAAAGCATGAACAGACTGTCCCGAAGTTATTTTGGGAACAAATGGTACTACTTGCAGACACTGGCGCTGAGCTGACGTTGACGGAACACGAATTTGAGTTGAAAAAGCGCGAAGTCTTGTACATCATTATGCGCCGGTGTTGTGGAGTAAGCAGCAGGTACGACAGGCACCAATCCAGCTTTAGCTCCACGCTCGCTTCAGCAGAATGTTGCCCGCGTTTGCTTTGCCTCCACACGGATAGACGACCAGCGCAGAGTCCCGCAGCTCCGTGACCGTAAGGTCTTGATATTCGCCGTTAGTGCCGTCAAGTCTCAGTCCACCTCTCACAGCAAGCCCCTCTATGAAAATCTTTCTCTCTCCATTGGATAGAGAGAGAGGAGTCAGTGTTTATTTTGCTAATAAATGCTGCTGTACTTGGAATACATACAGTTCAGATGAAGTGATCGGAGCATTCAGTGGAGTAGCAAAATGAATTTAAGTTGGTGGTTGACAAATATGCAATGAGTGGTAATTGATGGTGATGGAGAGATGGAGGAGGGGTAAGAAGGTAGTGAGAGAGGAAGTGAGTAAGAAAAGGAGTGCTATTTGCAGCCTAGAGGACATGTGATAATAACGAGAGAGCTTGGAAGCTCAGGGCCCTGCGCTATGCTTTGTTGCCTAGCTTATCGTGCATGTTGTTAGAACTGATGGAAATGCTTTTTCCTTTGATTAGCTACATCATTGTATTGCAAAAACGTTTCAATGAGATACTGAAGTACAAGTAACGTCTTCTGCATAGCTATGGGACCGGCGCTGACTCTGCCGATCACGGGCGTTCTGGAGTCGACGGGATGTCTGTCCTGACGTTT